TTTTTTTTTATTTTTTTTTTTTTAATTTGTTTAAATTTTCTTAATTTGTTTAATTTTTTTAATTTGTTTAATTTTTTTAATTTAGTTATTTTTTTAATTTTGGTTAGTTTTTAATATTGTATTTTAATTTTTTTATTTATTGTATTCTTTTTAATTTTTTGTTATTTTGTTAATTTTTTTTTACTTTTTTTAACTTATATTTTTTCAACTTTTATTTCGTTTTTTTTTCTCGTTTACATTTTATTTATTTATTTCATTTTTCAATTCATCTTTTTCATTGTTTTTTTCTTTATTTTTCTTTCTTTTTTACTTTTTTCTAGTTAATTATATTTGTTTTAATTATTTCATTATTTATTTTATATAATTAGTTTTTTAGTATCAATTTTTGTTTATTTTTTAATTATTATATCAAATATTATTAATTTTTTAACTATTAATTTTTTAACTAATTTCTTTTTTTTTATTTATATTTCACTTTTAATTTTTTTATTAATTATTATTAATTTTTCTGGATTATTTTTGTTAATTATTATTTATTTTTAAAATTAATTTTTTATACTTTTTTTATTATTTATTTCTCATTATTTATTTCTTATTATTTACTTTAATTAATTTATTAATTATCAATATTGAAATTGACCAATTGTCTGCTAAATTTAGCCTACATAGGAGGGTGTGCTAATTAGTGTGCCACCCCTGCATTTGTAAAAATGTTGATTTCGTTTTTTTTTTATCCAAAAATCGTTAATTAAGGTAAACTTTTAATTTAATTTTTTAATATGAAATAAATCTGCAACTGCTCTGCATCGGTTGCTCGGAAATGCATACCGTTAGACTACCTTGAGTAATAGAGCATGTCACGAGCGGTTTCAATAGGTTAAATACGTTGATTTTGGCAAAGATAGCAATATCTATCTATCTATCTAACAAACTACGTTTAAAACAACCGTTCTATGTGGAACGTGGAAAATACACTTGAATATACGACGAGGTCAAGAATGGTAAAATAGTAAAACCTATTAATCACATAAGGAGCAATTAAATATTTTATATTTAATTTTTTTTTTCTGTGTTAATTTTTATTACTTTTTTTTTGCCTTAAAAATGAATTTCCTTTACTACACATACATACAACTCTATTCATAATTTTAACCTGATCCAATAAAAAAAAATTGAAATCAAATTTTGGGTCAACGATCTCTCTTGTCTCTTCTTGTCTTAGATCTATAGCTGAATTATTTTTGGGAAAATAGGTCTTACAGCCTGTACATGTGTATATACATATGTATGTACATATTATATACATATATATCGTCGTTAACACTAACGAATACCATTTTTTACCGCTTCCTGTCAATTTTGCAAAAACTACATTTAACTCCCAACAATCGACAACAAAAATTATTATATACCCATTTACAGTGCAATCTTGACAAGTACATAAATAGGTGCATATGTACACGTATATGCATACATGCCAAATGCATTGTTTACTTTTTATCAGTTACAACAAATACCACACCCTCTCCTTTCTACAAATATGGGCAGCGGTATACGCGATAATGCTGCATTTTTTTCCTTTTTTTTTATTGCACATTTTCAATAAAAATGATCTCCTGCTTGGCACTGTAAACCAACTCCGTTCGAAATACGCATGCATGTATGTATGTACGTATGTATTTATATAAGTCAATGCGCCTTTGTGAATGAAGAAACATTGTGTGTGTACGTATATACATATACATGTACTATGTATGTATTATACATGCGCTACATATATACTTAAATGCGTATGATTTGTGCGTTTACGATAATTGAGGCAAACGAGAAAATATAAAAAAAAGTCTGTCATCTATGCTAATGCACAAATCCATTATTTGTATATAAATATTTATGTATACAAGAACATATGTATGTACATAATGTCCATGTAGTTACATCAATATTTTTTTTTGTCAGATATGTATTCCAATTATTTTTTAACTATTATTCGAAAAAATTATTGTAATAAACAGTAACAGCTTAAAGTAGTTTCTAATGAAACAAATAAGTTACTAAAAATTTTATTAACATGTAATATCCACTCACCTCTTTACTATTGATGAGTCTTCCATAAGTTTTCACAATTGTTGAGGTTACACATATACATATATATTTCAATTGCAACAAAATAAAACGTATTTGTAGTTAAATGCAAAAAACTGATAATATTTTTTTAGAAAAATTTGTAGGAAAACACATATATTTTATCGACCTTTTATTGGATGTGGGTATATTAATATGAATATTCAAATACATTCCCAAATGTTTTCACTTTTTGTCACTTTCACAAATACTACCAAAATTTCAGCAACGGTTTAGTACTTTACGCTTAATTTTTTTAAGGCATTTACTACACATAAAATACAAATTATTTATATTAAAACACAGTAAGATCACACAATATTTTTTACACGCACAATTCTGAAGTGACATAAATATGTAGGTATGTATATACGTACAAGCACAGAAATCAGAAATCAACAATTTAATTTTCTGTATACCAACAATTATTTATATTGTAGTTGTTATGTTTGTCAGAAATTATTTGTGCAATCTTCACGTTTTCTATATAATGTTTTCAAATTTGAGTTGAGGTATAGGCCATGCACGTCTGAAGCTGGAATTCCGAAATGAACAGATAGCGGAAATCACAAAAGGAAAATAAAGAATAGATGCAGATGTAACAACATAGTTATATTTTTAATATATTTTATACTTTATTACTAATACAGAATTAAGTGACCAAAAATGCATTGCTATGAGAGTAATATTTTTTGTTAAATTACAATACCGGTAATATTTTTAATTGACACTGCACATGTTCATACATCATATGGATGTAAATACATATTTTTGTACATAGTTTTAATGATAACGCCAAGTGCATTTAAAAAATTCACGAAAACAACACGTACAGCTCCTAAAAGGCAATGGATTCTCTATATGTTTTCTAACACATAAATGTATTTATTTGTGTGTATTCAATTTGTTGTCCTCAAAACACTGTTCGTATAGCCGATCTACCTACAGGCATATATGCAAGTACACATATATGAACGTTTGAAGTTAAAAACGAAATCTAGTTAGTAAAAAAAGTCTTTCCTTCAGCCTCTGCTCTTTATATATCAATCCATCAGAATATTCGCTTAGTTATCGTATTTTTTTATTACCGCGATTGTTCTCATTTCTGCCAACGCGCTTTACTGGTAGTTGGCTGCCTCAGCCCCTATTCCAAACCCGTCATCAGTGTGTTACTGTTAAAAGACATTTTTTCATATTTTTTCCTTTCTTGTCTGTATCACGAGCAGGTTTTTAACCGCCGTTTTATGCTGTTTTGGAGTTACTACATACATAAATATATGAATGCTTGCGCGCTTGCCCAGTTCGAATATGCTAACATAGAAAAATATTAAAAATAAACGAAAGCATGAAATAACGCAAAAGGTAAGAAGGAAATATGTACTTAAAAAACTGGTCCCCGAAATGTATAAATGAAGGTATGAAAAAAATCACACTGGTGGTCACAATATTTGGCACACCTTCTTAATATAATTGTAAGATCTTTTTTTTTTTGAATAATACCTAAGTCAAGTATAATATCAAACATCAAATATGTACACATACATAAATACATACATATGATGCATGCACCCACGGATAAAATTAGTAATTCGCTATATATTTTCATGATCCCTTAATGGTAATGTTATTCTAATTGGAAGGTACTTTTAAATTCTCAGTGCTTTAAAAGAAAAAAAGTAAGTAAATAGTATTCTTCATTTTTATGTTATAAAATTTGTTTTATAAATGACAATATTATTTCTATTAATCAGAATAATAGTTTATTCATATCTGATCAGTTTTAAAAACACGGTGTAAGGACTCAAGCTTAAGCCAAGTTCTTATATACACACATATTTTCATTGCATACATTCATAATTCAGTATATGCATTTCAACATCCAGGAGTTTTATTCCAGTCGGAAGTTTTTTCTATTAGCTTAATTCGACACTTTTCTTGGGCACAATTGAGGTTAAACTATAATGAATTTTAATTCATTTCTGTAATTGCTCTGCAAGTACGAATTAATTATGGAAACAATTTATGACCGACGACTCAAAATGAAGACACGGTAATGTAACGCCACACACGAAACTAAGCAAACAAAGAGGCGATCACCCGCACCAAAAAAAAAACTGGCCGACAAAAATTAACACTACCCAGGATTTGAATCAATTTGCAGCCGTAGAACTAAATTAATGTAGAGAGAATACAGTAAAATCGACAAAGTTGAACTTTTGACTCTTGTTTCCCTCCTTTCTAAATTTGCTTATTCGCACACTTTCATACCTTCATAACTAAGTTTATTTCTTCATGCTTTATATCAAGATTATTAAAAAAAAAAAAACACTTTTATTAAATTTTATACACTTTATTCAACATTAGTAAAATTGTTTCAATAAAATTACTTAAAACTTCCTGCACTTGCGCGTTTTGCTTCTCCATCTTTCGTATCTTATTTCATTACTTTTACTTCAATTATTCCATGATCTCCCATATTTCTTTACCCACATATACACACTTTTTATTATCTACGTATTCATATTCACACCTTTAGCGATCTTTTCCACAAAGAAATTTCAAATATTGCAATTATTTAGCTTTCATATAAATAAATATGTATGTTTGTAATTACTTGCAAACACATTTACAAAAATTTACATACTTTTTTACACTTTTCTTTCATTAAACAATCTCCACCATCCAACAAGTGGCGGCCATATTTGCTTTTTATGCGTTCACAGATCACAACCGATCATTTTTTTCATTTCGTTATTGTCTTTGTTTTTGTAAGCGATGTTAATTCTTACTGCTGTAATACTGTGGACACTGTTTCCTACGAATAGCGTCCAATTAAACGCGCTAATATATTTTAACTAAACGTATATTCCGAATGACGACCGAATGATTACTGACAAACAAAACGTAGCAGAAAAGAAAATATCCGAAATATTTTCGTATTTGGTACACAGGGCTGCTTTGAATGACTAGAGCTATTTCATTATCAATCATTATTTTATATTTTTTCATTATGTTTGTTCTGATTCCGCCAATTTCAGAGGTTTCATACCTTAAAACATAACTTTTTTTTATGTTATTACATTTTTTATGATTTCGTAATAAAATTTAATTTTCAAATGCTTGCTTAATTTCTTCCGATTGGTGGGGCAATGAACACAGACTTCCTTAGTAAACGATATTTGACGTTTTTCCCCACCGATTTCTCTACATCAATCGGACACTTTTTTAGAGGCAAATGTCAAATATGTTTTGATATTTTTTGTGGATTTATAATTAAATTTTTTTGTGACAAATCAGAAATAGTTCGACTTTTAGAATACTATTTGCTGGAAAATGAGTTCGGGATTCGTAACAGAAACTGAGGCTGCTGAAGCACGTAAGCGTCGGCAGGAAGAATGGGAGCGAGTGCGCACACCGGATCAACCGTTGGGTAAGCACATTCTTAAAAAAATGTTTTACATGCAAATTATTATGTTGAAACTTTACATAGAACGTCCTGAGGAACCATATGATGGTCGGTCACTTTTTGAAAGATTAAAGGAACAGAAAATGAAAAAGGACATGGAATATGAAGAAGCACACAAACTTAGTAAGATGAAAATGTAATGTGTTTCTAAAAAATGAAGTTAACTTAATTCTTTTAATAAAACAGAAAACTTAATCCGTGGTCTTGATGATGATGAAGTTCAGTTTCTCGAGTTAGTCGACCAAAACAAAATCGATGCAGAAAAAAGACAAATACAAGAAGAGCGTAAAGAATTGCAAGATTTCCGTGACCGCGTAGCAACTTTGCAGGAAGAAACTGCTGACAAGGTAAAACACACATTATCAGCTTTATAGAACAGCGTTAACAATTTTACCTTTTATTTTAGAAACTTCAATCCGAAATGAAAGCAGGCAAGTCAAAGGTTACATTAAGCGCAAGCACAGCAAGGCCTTCACAAAAATCGTTACTAGGAGTTGGTATTAAGCGTAAAAATGGTGAAGTCGCCAGTTCTTCCGGCGCGATCGCTGTAAAAGTTTCCAAAGACTCTCCTACAACAAATGTTTCTAAAAATATGGAACTGCCAAGCATTTATACAAATCAATTTGACAAAGGTCAACTGAAATGTATTGCAATACTTCCTGGTATTGGGCCATATACCGAATCTAGTGATTCTGAAATGAGCAGTGGTAGTGAAGATGAACCAGATAACGATAGTCATGGCAAGTATGATTTGATGGGACGAAAGAAACAAAAAAAGAAGAGTTGTCACGATGATGATTAAATTTTGAATTTTTTTTTAGCACTAAGTAGTAATGAATCATGATTCAGTTCTTTATTGGCTTCAATATAGAAAACGCATTATTATATATGAAGATTACAAGTAAAAATAAATTAAAATATTTTTTTTTCTACGTAGTACGTATTTTATTTAATTAAAGTTTGAATATTACATGAATTTTAGAAAATTTGACGTTCATTCACATTTACGCCTCCTTTTTCTTATTTCTGTTTCGATTTTTAACATTTGATACTTCGTAAAAATTACTACCAATTTTTTTGCGTTTTTGACTACGTTCCACTGCTCGTTTTTCCTTAGCTGTTAGGCGTTTTTTAGGCGCAGGTTGCCGAGTACCTTCATCATCACTTTCATCACCGGCATCCGGTTCTACTTTGAACTTGCCAGAAGCGGTAATTGCCACACTTGCTTTTCGCTTGATGTTGGCTTTCTTGTGTACAACACGTTCCAGGTCTTCGTCATATTCATCTTCAGAATAGAACTCACTAGCACCATCACTGGACTCGTCTTCATCTTCGGGATTTTGCTGGCGTTGTTTTTTACGCTCCAAACGCTCGGCTTTCTGCTTTTCCAGTAATTCCAAATCCATTTTGTCTAATTCTCGTACGTCGTCGGATTCAAAATCAATACCGACCTTGATTTTACGAAAATCTTGAAGCTGTTTGAATTCCCTGGCCTTTTTAACTGACTCACTAACGAATGTGGGGGCCTCAGATTTGGCATCATCTCCTTCCTGATTAACTTGAGTAGACGTTTCTAATTCGTTTAGAGGTTGAGGCTTATCTGCTTGCGATTTCGGAGTTTCATAACCATCAGGCGCCACGTAAAATGGTAATTTTCCTCGCTGCCAGTCGTTTAAAACCATTCGCGATGTGACAGTTATATCAGGCTCTCCGCCTTTCAACAATTTGCCGGATTTTTTGGCCAATTGTTCCAAAAAATCCATTGACGAAGTCCAGTTGTCTACTTTATATGTTTTCTGTATGTACTCTTTTCGCACACGTTGCAAAACAGTTTCAACGTAATCTTCGGGATTTGTAACCAGCTCCACTCGCACAACACCTTTCAAAACTTTTTCAGTGTCTGTTTCTGCAGATGGGTACACCACGCCAGGACAATCAATGAGGAAAATGCGTTTCATTAGCGTAATATATTGCCAAACTTTCGTTTCGCCAGCAATAGGCGCAACATTGCAAACCTTTTTGGAGCGTAACGCATTAATAACTGAAGATTTCCCCACATTAGGATATCCAATAAAACCAACACTGATTTGCTTTTTATCCATGTGCAGTTTACCCAATTGACGGAAAAGATTTATCAGAGCACCTAATAAAAGGTATTACAAATTATTATTTTATGTTTAACACTATAAGCCTTATAAAACCAGATATATACTAACCTTTTCCGAAGGGATGTTGCATTGATGCATGGAAGGCAATTGTGGGATATTCCGCACTCAATATTGCAACCCATCGCTGTGTCACCCACACCGGCACCAAATCTACTTTATTTAATATGAAGAACAAATGTTTGTGCGGCTTCTCTTTTCGTAAAAATTGTTCAATATATTTTGAACGTGTGCCCATCGGATCACGTGCATCAAGCACCTGCAACAAAACATCTGAAGCGTCAACAACTTTGTGCAGTTCGTTCCATATACGGCGACTCTGACCAGCAGCAAATATCCAATCACGTTGTGCAGCCTTTTCTCCAGTATCTTCACGTACCAAATCGACATCTTTTGTTTCATCATAATTTTCAGCTTGTACTTCTGCACTACGGCTTAAGTCTTCCAAATCCCGTACTTTTAAATTAACGCGTTTTCTTTGTTTTTTGGGGCCGAAAGTACTATCAAAACTTTCTGTGTCTAATAAATGTACGCGTTTGTACTTGCCTGTCTCATTTAATAGCGTTATAGGCAATTGAGATGGCTTCATTATAACTTGATATGGATCTTTTACCGCTTTGCCAATCTCATCTTGAAACTTTTGCAATGCACTTTGAGATATAACGCGAGAGTTACTGAACCATTTTGGAGACGGTTCAACCCGTGCCATCGTACCCGATGGTAGGCGTCCCTATGGGAAATTGTTATTATTATTATTATTCTGGTATCAATTTATTGTTCTTTTTACCTGAAAAGGTGCTGGTGTTATTATTTTTCCTCTGCGATCGCGCTTTGCTTTAAAGTTGCGATACATTTGTAATCGTTTAATTGTGGCCTGTGTTCTAGGATGGGCTACTCCTTTCAGTCCAGATTTTGGTCGCTCTGGGTTCATTGAGTGATTGGAATGGTTAAATCCCTGCTTTCGCGGTGGACCTGACGCACTGCGAACCTTCGGCATTTTGCTAGATTTCCTTACTTTTTCAGGTGTAAAAAATTTTATTTTTAATAACAAAACTGTATAATATTGTTACTTATACAGAATATTATTGTTCCACACGATAAACACTAACACTACGCAGCGTGTGCGATATTTAAAAGAAAGATTGAGGTTATGCGAAGCCAACAGCTGTTGTATTTTGGAGACTTTCCGAGTTTTCATTTTCGCTTCTAGTACGTAAACAAGCCGCAGCGATGCAACGTTTAATTTTCCCTTTTGTATAGTATTTAAACAAAAACATGTACCTACCCATATTAGGTTATTTATAATCTTGAAAAACTAATTTTGAATTATGTATTTGAACAAATATATTTATATTTTAAGCACAGTCGTGATTTATGTGAAATTTTTTACCATCAGTATCAAATTCAAACGCTTTGACTGAACATACCACAATTAGCATAAATTCCAATAGTCGTCCAATTTGACAGTTACAATAAAAATTTCATCATGGTATTATAAATTAGAGTCTAATTTTACTTGTTATGATACAAACAGGCCTTTTAACATAAAATTGTGTAAAGAAGTTAATAAAAAATTAAGCAGTAGAAACATAAAATTGATTTCATACAAAAAGTTTTTTTAATTTCTATAAAAGCGCAAGAAATTTAAGGCCGATTTCCATAAGCAAAGCAGATTTGTATCTCGTTATTTCACAAGTGTGTGTGTGTAGCCTTGTAATTTCCGCCCATTCACTGGACTTCGTTTTGTTGTTGTGTTAAATGCATTTGCTAAACTACAAATGTGGGAATTTCTGTATAGGGCGTCAAGTGGGAACTGGGGGCATCAAACGGAAACAACACTAACGCCAAACGCATTGAATTCAACGAACAGTGGTATAATTAAGTTGTGTTAGTGACGATCATTCACACATTGGAATGGAATGTGATGCGATCGGTTAGATATTTTACAACGTATTGAACTTTGCCTAGAACAAATATCCTTAAATTAGTTCCATACATGCCCACCCATTCGCAAAAATGTTTTTTTTTTTGCAAATAATTTCGGATAAAAAGTGAACATGAGTCCTGTTTAGTTATTGGTTCCAACATCATGTTGTTAAATAAAGAATTAAAAAAAATGTGTGCCTAAAATGGATGAAAATACATTAAATGACTTACTGGAGTGTTCGGTGTGCTTGGAGCGATTGGACACGTCGTCCAAGGTGCTACCTTGTCAACATACCTTCTGTCGTAAATGTTTAGAGGTAATAAGGCAAAATTTTTTTGGTCTCCCAATACATATCTATGTATGAAGCTTTATTGCAGTAAAAAATTAATGTAAAAATAAATTTCTGTGTAACTTCGCAGGTGATCGTGTCCAGCCGCCAAGAGCTGCGTTGTCCAGAGTGTCGAGTTTTGGTTGAGATAAAAATAGATGATTTACCACCTAATGTACTCTTAATGCGGATCTTAGAAGGTGTGTACGACAACATTTTCATTTTATTAATTTCTTGTAATTTATGTACATATGTATACTATATGTATGTTGGTATGTGTACATTAATATGTATGTATAAATGTATATATATGATCATGTGTTCAAGTAGACAATTATATATCAATTTATACAGTTATTTTTGTATTATGGTCACAGAAGTTTTTCAATATCCGCCCAATCACACGAACAGCCCACGCGCGATATACTAAAAAAAAAGCTTATGTGAAGACAATTAATTTATCGTTTTTTACCGAAATATTAATGCAGTTAGGTGATACTTTGCTAATGTCGTAGTGAATTACAGCATAATTTAAGTTTTTACAGGCTAAATGCTCCTTATTATAATATATGTATCGCCAAGTGCGTCTTGAATTACTTTTATCCACTAAGCGCCCTAAAAAAGTGGAACACACAAATATATGTATGTGTGGTAATAGCATAATATTTAATACGATGGGTAATGTATGTTTACTGCATAGGAAACTCCATAATGCAGGTGTGATAATAAATCCTCTTTCTATATTTAAATTACTAATTATTTTTAACTTTTCTTTACACAACATGAAGATCTTTTTTTTTTACAAATTCCTTAATATAAATTCACTCTAGGTATGAAAAATGCAGCAGCTAAAACTCAACAACATCAAAAGCCGCAAGCATCTAAATCGAGTCCGGATATACGAAATGTCGGCGATCCTAACCAACAACAACAGCAGCAACTTCAAATAAACAATCACCCGCATCAACTTGACCATATTCAGCAAAGACTGCAACAGCATCAGCTTAATGCTCAACCGCAAGTCCTACAGGAGCAACTCACCCCGACGCAAGTTCTCCCGATTAACATCACCAACAGTAATGTTCAACAATGCACGCAACAACAACTTGCACAACAACGACGTTTTCTGTTGCCACACGCCTACGCACTTTATGATTTCGATTCAGCCGAACCGTCCGATTTGCATTTTAAAAAAGGAGATTTGGTATTACTGAAAGGCAAAATTGACTCCAATTGGTATGTGGGACAACTGAATAATGGTAATGGTGTCGTTTCGGAAGGAACATTTCCCATTAATCATGTACAAGTTATTGTTCCGCTACCAACACCACAATGCATTGCTCTGTATGACTTCAGAATGCCACCAAATGAGGAGCAAGGTTGTCTTACTTTTAAGAAAGGAACAATTATTAATGTACTGCGCCGCGTTGACCAGAATTGGGCTGAAGGTTGCATCGGCAATTCAATCGGTATTTTCCCAATCGCTTTTGTAGAGCTAAATAAGTTGGCCAAGCAGGTACTGGAGGCGCCCTACATGGTAGCGAATACGTCAACGATTTCATCAACAACACCACCTACTATTAACATGGCACCCTTAACTGGCACCTCAAACAATGTTACGCATAATTTGCAACAGCAATTACGTAAACCACCCCCCAGACCACAAATAGATACTGCCAATAGTGATTCTATAATCTCTTCATGCTCAACATCGAATTCCTCCTCCAGTGCGACAAGTCCGCGATCGGCCAATACATCAACAACAACTACAACAACATCCTCAAATAGCGATGTTGTAAGTGGCAGCAGCTGCGTAGGTGGCAGTTCAGCTTCTATGCCTAGCAGTCCTAATCAATCACTGCCAGCTTCTCCGCAACATGAAATTTCAAATAGTAACATAACAAGTGGTTCAAGTTCGGTAAGATTTCGGGATAAACGCGAAAAACGGCATTCTCTTAACACCTTGCTCACAGCGAGTAACTTACACATAGGAATAGGTTCAGGTACAACACTTAGTATTTTGCAATCAAATCGTCATTCAGCGGAAATTTTAAGCATACCTGCCGACATACATAATCCTACAGATAGTGATGTGCAACCAAAGCCAAGTATCAGTAGTGGTGGTTGCGGACAAGAAGCCGCCTCCGTTACAGGTGCAGCAATGCCACAAAGCACAGTCGCACGCGAACAGCAGCAGCAACAGCAGCAAATACATGCTCAGCAATCCCAACTGAAACAGCAGCCACAGCCGCAGCAACGTGTCAATGTGTTGAAGACAACCGTTGTACAACAATACGTGCCACCAAGTTTACCCTGGGGCTATCTCGCTCTATACCCATATAAGCCCCGAAAAAGCGATGAACTGGAGTTGAAAAAAGGTAGTTAATTTCTTTTCTCTTGTTTAAAACGTTTTCACTTAACAAATTTAATTTAAAGGTTGTGTTTACATCGTCACCGAACGTTGTCTGGATGGTTGGTTCAAGGGGAAAAACTGGCAAGATACCACTGGTGTGTTTCCCGGTAATTATGTAACACCACTTCGTAGCCGAGATCAGCAACAGCTAATGCATCAGTGGAAGTATGTGCCGCTACAAAGTACGCCTTATTCCAATCAAGTATCTACAAAAGCCGTCACAAATGCGCATGGCGTTCCAACACAATCTATTATTACCTCCGCCTCGCAAAGAATTCAAAGCCTACATCAACCACCTGAATTGCCGCCGCGACAGGTGAGCAGTACACTGCCAATTTCATCGGTTTGGACTAAACCACTCGGCCATACAGTGGAAGCGTTTTTTAATCGTTGTAAGACCAACGACAACACAAAGGAACACAACTCAAAAGAAAAGGAAACAGGCAGGCATATGGAAAATGTACCTGGTGAAACAGTGGCATCATCTGCCACTTCTTCAGGCTCCTCATCAACCACATCCAGTGCCGTACAGTTAATGAAGCGTTTAGCGCATATAAAATCACGTTCAAAATCTCCGAGTAATACAAATACACGTCAGCAACAGCAGAAAAGCCCACATGCACAAGTAACTGCAAATGACAAATCGGCATTGGGTGATGATCCTAATCATAATAAAAATAAAAATGTTGGAGTTAACAACTCACACTTCAATGCTACGAACACACACGGACACTTGCACCCGGTACATGTGCGGTAAGTTGAAAAAGTACAAGCAAACAGAGTGTATTAATACGATTTAAGGAAATTTAAATATAGAATTCTTATAAAAAAAAATATTATAAACCATCAAATGGTAAAAAATAACTGAAGACCAAAATCTAAACTCGTCTTATCTCCTATATTTCAATTTATATATTTCAAGGATATATTAACAATGACAAGTTGTCATTTAGCTGGTTTCGATTAAAAGTAGGCCTGAACGCCAAATATTACTTTTTAATCGACCGGACAACTTATGGCTTCTATGCATTAGAAAAAATACCCTACTTAAATGTAAATTCTCGTTTTTTCACAGTTCCGGCTCCTGTCCGAGTCAATTGTTGCAGAACCTACCGCATGATCTAACGGTGAGTGCTGCATCGTCTACAGGCTCAGCAGCAATGGCACAAATACAAGAAAACATGTCACAGAACCCACAACTTGTTACGCAACAACAAAGACATCAACATCTCCAACAGCCACAACACATGCAGCAAACAATACCACAAACAGTTGGCTATGGCTCCCAGCAGCTGCGTGGTCCTAAGGACCGTCCACATTTACCAAAGTAACAACCGTAGTGAAATTATCAAACCATATTTTGTATTCTCAATCTAATCTAATATTATATACATGTGTGAAAATCTATATTCTTTAATCACAATATTTTTCGTTTCAGCGCACGCCAATCTATGGATGCAGTCACATTGCGTAGTATGTATAATTCGTCAGTTGCACAACAACAGCAACAACAATCGGCATATGCAGCAAAATGTGCCAACGAACAACAACAGTTGATACCAACAAATACAATAATTTCAAATCACCGCAAATCGCATAGTTTGGATGCAGCAGCTGCTTTGTCAAGTTCGTCAAGTGATTATGCAACTGTCGGTGGTAGTAAAACCGGTGGCCTGGCTGCATTGGTTGCACCTGGTAACATAACGGCAGCCGCTGTTGCAGCAAGTGCAACAACTAAATCAACACAAAGCTCACGGGAAAGGTGCGTTTAATACTTAAATGAAATATTAATTGTAATACATTCTTACTTACTGGTCTTTCTTTTTGTTGTTTCTAATAGTCGTTTTAGGTGTATTGTGCCATATCCGCCAAATAGTGAAATCGAGTTGGAGCTTCAAGTGGGTGATATTATTTATGTGCAACGTCGTCAAAAAAATGGCTGGTACAAGGGCACGCATGCACGCACCAATAAGACTGGACTCTTTCCTGCTTCATTCGTTGAACAGGATATTTAAAAATGTAAAAAGAGCAGTTAAAACGCTTGTAGCGCAATATTTTCCCTTTTATTTTACATTGATTTACCAGACAAATCGTAAATATGTCCAATATTTATATTCTTATGAGTTTTGTAAGCAACTTAGCATTTCACGAAAGTAAAGACTTTCCAGTGAGTGTCCCATAAACCACAAATGAAAGTTACTTTATGCTTTTTCAGGTCATTATTCTGTTGAATTGTTTTTGGTTTTTTAATTTTATGGAACTTTCTCAGACCAGTTACTTTAGTTATTGCATTTGTAATGCTTTTTACAAAAATATTAAACTTTTTGCATACAAGTTATGTATGTTTAATTCTAAATTAACGAACATATTCATTTGGTGCGAAATGCCCGATTTTTAAGTTTTTTTTTCTAAGTTTTCGGAAATAAATCTTTTTGTCAATTTGCTGGCAAGAAGTATTTTGTATATAGTGTAAATGGTCGTTGGCCTATAATTACTTAAACGCATTTACGTACAAAGGAAAAACCTTTAAAAAAAAAATGCAATGCACTTTTTGAAAGTTTTTATTTTGGATTAAGAGAATAGTTAGAAAGATAGCAAATGACATGCTGCTTGAACTTTTCGTTTTTGTAAAAGACATTTTTATAGATATATCCATGTATATATACATATTTGATTGCACTCAAAAGCTGCAAATATGTATATTTTTAAAATTAGGTTATATGACTTAAAAAACTCAATACCTTCTTTAAGATTATATTTTACTTACATTATGTATATATATATATATATATATATATATACAATATATATACAACTTAAATATATATATTACTTAAATTAATCATGATACATACATTTTTAGGAAAAGTGACTGAAGCATGTTAAATATTAATATAATTAAGAGCTAAAATCAACATATTGTAACCACAAGAGGTTTGTTATGTCAAATATATGCTTCAAGAATTGTAAGCACACACACACACTTTTGATAAGTGCGTAGAAATTTAAAAAACGTAAATAATGTTATAAGTATAAAATTAATTAAATAACGTAATATTGCACAATTTATGTAATATTGTAGCTGTATTATATATGTACGTGTGCATAAGAGATTTACTTACTTAGAAATCGATTACTCACTTTTTGAATCATATTTCGTAACCGGAAATGCAAATAATGAAAAAGGTCTTATGTACAATTTTTTAAGTGAGTAAATTCGAAAACCGAAGTTTTTTTACAACATTTTAAACAACCATTAAATTATTAATATATTTGCATGGAAATTCATCTTAGTAACTCAACAAGAATTTTAGATTTATTTCTTTCTGTTCTTTTTTTCTTTATTATTTTTTTTTTTTTTTTGCATTTCAGAGGACGATTATGACAATATGTAATCGTAACTGTACTCGAATAAGATAAACTCCTGCCATTTTTTATTGTGTTTTAACTAACTGTTAAATTTAATACATAGTGACATGCGCAAACTGTTATATATATATATATATATATATATATATATACAATTCGTTTGAGTAGAAAATAACGATTTAACATTTTTTTACGGTAATAAATGCGAAACCTAAATAGAATATCAAAAATTTCTTACATACATTTGTACTATATGCTAATAAAGTTTTTACTTATATAAATTAGATCTATGTTTTAGATTTCCGAATACTGTAGGAGAGGGAGCTTCAGTGGATATATTCAGTTGGGGTTCGGACAAAAGATTTATCAAAGCGTGTCTCGAAAAGGAGATGCAGCTACAAGCAGGTAGTTCATATGTATGTATGTACGAGCATGAACATAATTCCATAACTTTTTATTTGGATATTGGGAAGGTGCTGTTGGTTAGGTAACCAAATATATTTTATTGAAAAGATTAGGGACTCAAATTTCATGTTTCGTTGAGCAATGTTGCCGGCAGAAAGACGGCTGAGACGATGGAAGGATGAGCTGCAAAAATTTGCGATGGATCCATAAAAACCAGCTACAGAAGGAAAGAGGGATTTTCACTCTATTGGAAATATCATAACGAGAAAGACTTGAATTCACTTATTGTTTCGAAGCGTCGTTAAATTATATCAAGAAAATAATGAAAACAAATCTTTCATATTAGTCTCATATTGTACGTTTCGCACTACTTTATTTCGGAACACAACTTATATGTAGAATTTATTTTAAATTTAATGAACAGCATAAAGACAGAGCGAAAAGTTTACATTTTTCCCACGAATTTAAACTCTTAGTTTATTCAGATTTATCGAACTTCGTATTGTAAATGGGCATGTATTGCAGCACTACTTTCCAGTCTGTGAAATAGAGCAATGCAAGACCGGCAGCGCCACCAAACCCTACCCCGGAAGATACGCTGAAAATAAAAAAAAATATGTATATTATCCATTTCAAATTAACAATGAAATTTTAATTATTTTGATATTAACACTATTAGTCTTTATATGTAAGTTTAATTATAATGGGGTAGTCGGTTATGCAATGATCGACGACATGATAATTGGAGCGTAGGTGATCTAGTTATATTTTACAGAAGAATTAAAGCAGATAAATTTGTAAAGCTTACAAAGAAGTAGCAATTTCTGCATGCTTTTTGCCAAATGGAATTCTCATTTTGTTAATATTTCGATTTTGCAATCCAACAAGATGATACGATGAATTTTTAGGTCACTCTAAAATTTACAACTGAACAGATGACAGAGAATTGTCAAACTGGTCGATTATTGTGATTTCTTTTTTGGCTAGAAAATTTGACAGTAAACGCCAGACACGTCATATTTGTAACAAATATTTCAGTGATTAGCCCCGAAAGAAAATGTTTTGCAAGGGAATAACGAATATTATACTACTAAATTCTATATGTGTTTTATTTTTACTAGATTGTAATTCTAAAGAGATAAATTAAAAAAAAAAACTAACGAAGGCACACCTTTTTTGAGATGTTCAAAACGATTTTTTCTCATACCAATTGTGACTTGAGCATATCTCAATTAATTAAAATCAGCTGACTTTTGACAGCGATCTATTACAATTTTCTCCTTGCTCCGCCCCCAACAAATTATTAACAATTATAATAAAAAGTACAAAAATCACGTAGCATTGTCAAAATTTTTAAATCAATTTATAGAGTAATAAGTTGCATCTATACAACAAAATGTTGAAAACGTTCACTACTTTTGAGTTTGGTCTCGTTGTCAGCGTTTTGCCTGCCGCATTCTTCTATTTATGGACGCTAATAGCCGGCGATTTAATTGTATGCAGAAATAAGTTCGCAGTTTTATATACTACAAAAATGACTAATAAATATTAATCATTTCACAGAATTTCCCTGGCAGTCGCTCAAAACTATACAGCTATACAGCCAAAGATATGGTGAACTGTTATCAGAATTACACTGCAAACTCCAACGGCGGGTTAAAGAAAGCTGAATAGCTTTACATTTCCTAACATACTGTATAGTATTTTATATAATTAAGTATGTATTATGCTAAAACTACTTCGCACGCATTTAAAACGCTTATGAAATATATATATACATATTTTTACAAATAACTTTTTATAGAAGGTTTAAGGGTTGCAGGTGGATTTACAAGTTGAAATTTTAATTCTTTTCTATGTAAAAACTGATTTTTTACTAAATTTGACAATTTAATGAACTACCTTTTGGTACGTTGACAGCAGACACTCCAAGCTAACTAAGCTTTTTGTTAATTAACTTTTATTTGTTTCTATGGTCAGAGACACTTTTTGATTTTTTTTTTATTAAATAATTTATATTTCAATACGTTTACTAATTCTATTGTCAAATAGAAATTTTCATAATTACGTCATGTATTTCTGGAAATTTAAATAGTTATTTGGTTTTTGCAAAGCGTTTACATGTATTTTTCGTTTATTTTCGTATATTTTTCTTTAGTATTTACAAAAATGTATACTTGTTAACACCTTACTATCTTAATTTTTACAGTTATAAAATTTGATCAAAATATTTCTAAAGTAATGTTAAATAGCCAATAAATGACAAACAGATAAAAAAAACGTTCAATACATAATAAAAATAAAATAAAACACTACCGTATCTTACTTAAATATGATCGAAAATACAGTAGGTAAATAATATCAATGAATAACTAAAACGAATTATTGTTTGAGTTTACGGAATGAATTTAGACTTGAATGTTGAGAGATTAAAATAATGTGCCGCGGTTGAATAAGAAAAAAATATTTGAATTCACCGCTGTTGCTCATACTTTTTGAATAGCATATAACCTAAATGTTCATCACATACATATACATATACCTACATAAATCTATACATTTTAATTTATAGCCACTACACATAGATATAATTCGTACGCTTGCTCGTTTTTACAAACAGTGAAATCGACATCTTCTCTAAATATTTCACTGCGTTAAGTTCTACATATAATAAAGAATTAATGAGATTAAAGAAATAAGCTTTTTTTTGTTTTGTTTTGTCAATTAAATTAAACGCGACAGCCACAGTCTGGCTTACTAATGCTCCGTTGTCTAGTTTGAAGATTTCGTAACGCAGCACCACCATATTGTATGCCACTGCCAATGCGTTCGGGATCCAACTCACCACTTTCAATTTTTGCCAATATTGTTTTCGAACATTTCAAAAAAGCCTCTTCAACATTCTCTCCAGTTTTCGCACTGGTCTCAAGAAATATTAATTCTGCCGACATAAATTACAAGTTAAAATAAATACGAGTATATATGCATCTATGAATGTATGTTGAAATGAAATCTTTTGTATGTCCTTACCATTTTCCTGTGCAAACGTGCTTGCTTCCAAGAACGTGACATCGCGTTCGTCTTCCAAGTCCTTCTTATTACCAACTAGAAGTATAACAATATTTGGACTAGCCAATGTACGTGCATCATTCAACCAATTATTGAGTGCATTGAAAGAATCACGGGATGTTGTATCATAAACTAAAAGGGCTCCAGCAGCTCCGCGATAATATGAACGTGTTACTGAGCGAAAACGCTCCTGTCCAGCCGTATCCCATATTTGCAGCTTAACAGATTTACCACCAACATTGACGATGCGCGAGCCAAACTCAACACCAATGGTATGAGAACTGTCGTCCTTAACTAGAATTAAAAAAGAAATTAAACACAAATGGCTTTCTTGCATTTTGATTGATCTGTTGTTGATTTCTATTATAGGAAATTTGGATTTTCGAAAAAAAAAAATTTGCAACTTGGTGTGAATTTCACAAGTGAGGCAATTAAATCTCTCAAGCATACATATACATACATACATATGTAAGTATGTGGTATGCAATTTCTCATAGCAGATCATAATGAATTTTTTTAGCACCAAATAGATTTTTATTATTTTCGGTCGTTTTTGACGTGATGTTTCCCCAATTTCATTCTACAGTTGCAATAAAATTAATAATAATAATAATAATAATCATAATAATACCAAAAATCATAATACATAAGAATTCTGGATAAAATATGAAACCATAGAGCTAAAAAACAAGTTTTGCACTATTTTCTACGCCGACTTACACTTATTTTCAATAAAGTGATGTAGTAAGCAGCTCTTGCCGCTGCCTGCACTTCCAATTATTAGGAATTTAAATAGATAATCTGAAACACATCAAAAATGAAAAACATGACAAAAATAATCGTGAATATATATCAATTTGCATAAATCGAAACCAATTCAAAACGACATACCATACGATTCCGACATTTTCTTTAATTTTGTGTTGGCTGCTGTTATGTTATTTACTATGTTTGTGGTTCCTTATTTTTATCGAAGTTACGAGTTACGACTCAAAAAATTGTCTCACTATTTTACACCTTTTGTTTTTCTTGCTGTGTTGTTAATGACTTTGGGTTACACTTGTACGCTTTAGGCAAGTATAACATAAATTTCTTTCACATAATAGTATAGTTGAAATATGTAACGAATATATTTATTATTGCGAGTGTGTATATATACAAAAAATGCATTTATAAAGCTTTAGAAATGAATTAAAATAATTTTTTCCACTTAAAAACTGCTACCAATGAAATTAATTCTTTGGAGAGATCTTTGTTTTTCACGCTGACGTTTGCGAGACTCTCCAAAAAACAACAATTCCCAATGGAGGAAACATAAAGCCTGGTTTACATAGAAAATGTAGTTCGGCTTGATGGAACTTTGTTGGGCCAAAATATCGCTTCAGCGGTTACAAAGCGCCAATTATAATTATAAGTGCCCTCATAAAAACCTTTTGCAACAAATATATTATAATTCTGAGCCATCTACGAACGGCTCATGTTTTCTTTGAGTAGCTTTTTATTTCATGCAGAAATACATTCGGAATATATGAAATTCCTTGACAAGGGACAATCGCAATTGGAAAATGATTTTGGCTCGTCGAATGTGTGGATAATGCATAGAGTTGGTTGGTGTTGTGTGTGGCAGCTGTATTGAATTGTTGTAGACGTTTAATCTCTTCGTGATGCCTGGGAGGAAGCTCGAATTCAAATAAAATTCAGTTGGGATGATCCTGAACGTAGGCAACGATTTGAGCATTTTGCTGTGGTGTCAATTACAGTCGTAACTGTCGCGGGAACTTTTAGATTTTAGTCGCGTCTTAAATCTTCTAAACCGTTGGGGTTAGTAACTTTGCGTACTTTGAGGCGATTTGTACCTTGATTTGAACCAGTATACATGCCGTGAATTCAGTATTAAATTCTGCTCGATATTTGTGTATCTTTTTGGTAAAAATCGTCCTTGGATTAGTGGTCGAAAAAAGTCTGAGAGGTAGCTTTTTAAATTTGAACATAAGTTATTTATATCCGGACGACAAGGGAGTTTCGAAATATAAAAACTAAACAGTAGTGAAGAAAGAAAACAAAATCGAACCGCGGGATCACCAACAATTTTTCTTAGAGTACTGTTTCGGAGGGAGGTACGACGCCTCTTTCAAATGGTGAGGCAAAGCGGGAACAACAATGCCTCTTGGTGGGGATTAATTGGAGGAGTTAAACACAGGTTGAGGCTTTAGTTTTGGAAGCCTGAGCCTTTCTGATGATCCGCGCTGATGCTCGGAAGTTTATGCAGACGTCGGGTTAATACTAAAAACGCAGAGTGTAAATAGCTCGCTAAAATTAATTGAAAAAAAAAAACTCATACTCCTTTAAATCACAACTAAATTTTTATTTACTTAAATTGTTATTTCTAACTAATTTATTATAACGGAATATTATTTTGTAAAAATTGACCCTTTTAAGTGCAAATAATAATAAAAAAGATGTAAAGTTTATTAATTTTATAAATAATTAAAATAAAAAAATCAGTTCCGGTGTTATTTTCACATACATATGTAGGTACAATACAATTTTGAATACGAACTCTGTCAAAATAGTCTTTGAACAATAATGCATTTAATGCTTCTAGTAATGTGTCATGTATTTCAAACCAAATTACTATTTAACAATAACTGTATCACCATCCTGAACGCTGTAGAAATCTAAAGTTTTGGCGCTATTATCCATGGGTACCACCAGCTCTGGATATTTAGCGTCAATATAAGACAGCTGTGGTAGACTGCTGCTGGAACTCGAAGTCGTTTGAAATCGCTTTGCAATCAGACCCTGCAAGGTTTGCACCGTTATCATTCGCGGTACACGTTTTTCCCAAATTTCTCCACTTTGTTGATTATATACTCGGATCTTAATTAAATTGGATTGCTTTGACTTCGGACGTACTACGAACTCTGCGGGTGACCCATATTCTGTAAATAATTATACTTAGAAAATTAATACCTACATATGTATGTTTGTATAATAAATACTCACTTTCTATTATTTCGGCATATGTACGATGTTTTTTATAGAAATCATACAAAATTTCAGGTGTATCTGCTGCTTGCAACCATTCCATAGCGTACCGCTTCCAAATGTCATAACTAGCATCGCGGCGGGCTTCAGCACTCACCTCAATCTTATTAAGCATTTCCAATTGACTAATCATGCCTACAGCCTTCGAAAACATTTCATCAAAATCAGATTTTAAATGGGGTGATTTATTAAGACGTTTCAAACTCGAGAGTTTGTCCAATTCATTAAATGTATCTGCTTCATTCCATATGGGATTATAGAGTAAATTAAGCTGTTCTAAAGCCACAAATATTTTGAGTTTTTCGCGTGGTTCACAGTCAGGTAACTTAATTTCTTCAATGCCATTTTCCATGAGATTCAAACTTTTCAGTGTACATATGTTTCCTAATTTGCATATTTGATCAAAATCCATTATTTTTGTACGATGCAAGTCTAGTTCTCTTTAATTTTGAAAAGAAAACAATATTAGAATTCATGAATTCCTTATTATTCATTAAAGCAAATGTACTTACTTTAAATTCTTGAAGATTTCTTTACAATTAACTACATCAAGCTCTGTTAAAGGATTCTCCTGAAGGGCCAAAACCTCTATGTTTGGCCACAATTTAGCGGTCTGTGTCACATTCCCCCAGCGATTATATCCACAGTTCCGTAAATTGAGGCATTGCAAATTTCTAAAAGCCGGTTCTAATTCCTTAATTTGTGAATCCGTAGGCAAAACCAGGCGATTGCAGCTGATTTCATAGTGATTAAAGTAAATGAAAAAATCATATTGTAATCACACTCAATCATTATGTTTAGCACACTTTGATTGTCATAAATGTAAGGAAAGTGATGTAAATACATACATATATTACTTTCGCTTATTTGACAATGAATTGGCATGGAAATTAACATAGTGGCCCATGTTAAGATTTTGGAAAATTATAGTCAAATAACGTACAAGTCATACTAATATTGATTTATCCTTTTCTTAATTCAACTCGACCGCGAATATATATATATATATATATATATATATATTTACTTACATATGTTACTCATCTTACCTTAAATTCAAATCCCTCAAGGTCGGTACTTGTTTGCAAATGTCAGCAACAATTTTCCAATTCCATATTAGAGTCGAGCTGACATTTAAAGTCGTAAGTACTTGAAAATCTTTCAAATATCCAGCTTCATTTATTGGGCAATTGTCGACACTCACTTCAGATAATTGTTCAAATTTGCTCTGCTTCCGTGCGATTTTATCCATGCCAACAACTTCAAAAAAACTTGCCTGCATTTTTTGCTGTGCTTCGCGTATTAACGACACGTCTAGACTGCTTTCAGCCGAGTAACCTAAATAGCGTTCTCTTGCCGCAATCTCCAGTGACTCAAAAGGACCAACTTTACCAGGACGTACGAAACTGCCAGCATTCGGGTACTGAGTGTGGAAGTAATTTTTGCCTTCGTGGCAACCACTATGTTTTCCGCGTTGCGGATCATCCCATTCTACACCCAACCAAATACCATTATAGCCCGATACCTACGTAAATTATTAGTTTATTGCAATTGCTTTTAATTTTCATATATGTATGTGTTCACTTACCTCACCAACATATTTCACCGTACCATAATTGTCACCGACTTTAATACGTGTTCCAATAGTGTAGTGTAAGCAAGTATCGTCTATGATTCCTACCATGGCGACAATTGGTTGAGAAATACGCCCTATTATATTTGGATAGCTGCACAATTTGTTGATTTTCTTTAATATTGTATGTGCAAAGCGTTGCACACTTTTCCAAAACTTGTATTTAATTCGTGTCTGTAAATCGTTCTTTAAATTTGAATGCCCTTAAAAATTTTGCCACTGACGAAATTTATATTTATTGATTAATCATACTTTTATATAGATTTATTTCTTTATTTTAGAATAAAAACAATAAATTTATTACAATGTTTTTGTCTCTTACCTTAATAGAGTTATATCGTAAATTAATGACTTTTGATGACTTAATGCAGATATCAACGATATTAAACTGCGACGGGGTTGCATTTAACAGAGAACGTATTCATCAATTGCTTAATTTACTTCACAAAAGTAATTCTCTATAAAGTTTATCTTACTTAAATTATAAATATTTCTTAATAACTGGAGCTTAGCCTTGGGGATTGCTTTCAGCTGATGGTATTCGTGATAAATGAAACGGATCGTCGTTGTTGAAGTGGTTTGTTCTTGAGTTTTCCAGGCGGGACAGTCTGATATACGAAGAATCTGGCTTGATGCGATGGTGGTTAATCCTTGAGTAACTGTCAGTACCGATTATGTATTTTCCTCTATTTAGTTTTGAGAATTGAATAGTTATGAGAATTGGCGCGGCTTCGACAAAATGAAAATAGCAGCCCATAGAAAATACGTTTTTTATGTTGTTGTTGTTGTAACCGCAAAATTATTCCCCAAAGTACTTTTTGGGGAATGTTGCGGGAGTGACAGTCCTTGGCCGGATAAAAATCCGGGTCGTTCCGGTATAAAGACCCGACTGTCGCGGGAACTATTGGATTTTAGTCGCCTCTTACGACAGGCATGCCTTACCGCGGGTAAATTCTTGAGCCCCTAACCCGCAGGGGGGATACGTTTTTTTTTTACGTTTTTTTATCTTCTCCAACTGTGGCGAAGGAGGTGTAAAATTCTGTGGATCAATCTGTCAATAGGAGCTTCCATATGACTGATTTGAAGGGGTTAGTTTCTTCAAAGAAGCTGACTTTGTATACGCAACTGGGCTTATTGGCTTTTTGTAGTTTCAAAAGGTCGGTGAGAAACCAGGATTCTTTCACTTTTCGCGAAAGGTTTTTGGCTCCCCAAAGTAAATGGATTTTTTGCGGTAGTGCATTGTCTTTCGCATATAAGGCGCATTTGTAAATAGGTGATGCTACTTTTGGCGAAGGTTTTTTAGATACGGTTGATAAGAAATCCTATTTCAAGACGATGTTGGAACTGATGATACGTTGCGGATAGAGTTTATATAGGCAGTCTTCCAAACCGTCCATTAAAAAGGTAGTCCAGATTCCGATAAAATGTTTTTTAATGGAGACGTCTCAAATGCGCGAAACTGCAGAGTGGTAAGGTGCAACCAACATCTTGATCTGATTCTTAGAGTGATGGCCATATTTTTCTAAGCCATAATTTATTATAAATGAGATGAAATAGTCGTGCCTGAGGACTTGAAGCAATTAAATAACAAAGCTAATATTTCAGTTATGGAAGCCATGACTAGTGTTAATTCTGAAGTTTTTGAAGCACCAAAAATAGCGCTTACTTCGTTAAATGCAATTGCAAGGAGAATGGTGGAGAGAGGAAACCCTTGAGGGATCCCATTATCTCGGGGAAGTATATCGGAACGGAGGTTGGAGAAGAGGATAGCCATTTTGCTTTTGGATAGGAATGATTTGATGAAGCTGTAAATTTTTAGTTGTCTTAAAATGACGTGGTTCCCGATTCTATCGAATGTTTTTTAAAAAAATCGAGGGAAAGTATTGTAACATGAGTTTTGTAGGATAATGCTTCAGACACAACGTCCCTTGTCCCTAATGTCCCTTGGCACTTTTTGAATGCAAATTGGCTAGAGTGAATAAGTTTGTGGTATTGGGCATACCAGGAGAGTTTTGTGGTTATGATTTTCCTCATTAATTTTCCCAGGCAAGGTAGAAGGAATATTGGGCGATAGCTGGAGACCTCCCCGGGGGCTTGCCAGGCTTTAAGATGGGAATTATAGCGCTAGTCTTCCATTGGGAAGGATAGTTGCCAGTGTTGCGAATGTTGTTATGGAGATTGGTTAGACGGGATATTAGGGTGGGAGGGAGATGCTTAATTATGAGGCATGATATTTTATCAACTCCAGGGGTTTTGCCCTTAACAAGGAAAGGGGCAGAAAGGATTTCAGGGGTAGATATTTCGGAATGTAAGATTTTGGCCGGGGGTTTAAAGGGGGTGCTGGGAGCAAATTCTGCATGGAAATTTAAATTAGAGGAGACCTTGGAGAAGTGAAGAGCGAACTCTGAGGCTATATCACGGGGATATACTAGGTTGCCTCGGGAGGATTTGGGGAACGATAGGGGCTAAACAAATTTGGTTGAATCCATTCCAGTCGGCCTGATTGGTTTTGAAGCGAACTCTGGCTTTAAAGTGGGAGACGGAAATTAGCGATGAGATTCTAGAAAGAATAGGGAAGTGGTCGCTATCGTAGAAGTCGTCGACCTAAAGGAGAGAAGGTTAAGGAAATCGGATGTCGAGAACGGTTGGTCGGGAGGTGAATAAGCACATATAAACAAAAGTTTGTAAGGGGATTGAAGTTCAATGGCAAGGGAGGAGATAACGGAGTGGGGGATGAGAATGGTAATGTGGGGAATGATTTTCTTGACTAGGATAGCGACTCCGTCTTTATTACATATATTGAGTAGAAAATTTAAGAAATGATGAATGAATGTGATATAATGTTGTTACTATAAATTAATTATTTCGAAGATTCGAAGAATTACTGGTTGGTATGTCTAAAGACTGATCGAAAGAGTTGTCGGAGCGGTAACAAGTAGTAGAGGTCGAAAGTGAGTAAAACTCCTCCGCTTGGAACCATTTCGTTCTTAGTTTTTTCATGAATTTGTACGCTTTGTGACACCTTGGGAAGCAAGCTCTTTAGATATTTCTTCATCTGATACATGATTTAAGTAAGGAACATAAATCTTTCCTTTCACAGAATTCAGATTTTCATGAAATTTGCAATTCTGTTCACACTTGATATTTGAGGTTAGGTAATGGTGTTGGTTTTATCTTTCCATGTCGTACCTATTTCTTCCGCAGTGGGTTGTACAGCAACACTAAATCTCCATCGGAGTTTATCGCCTTATCATAAATGGCCTTTGAGTTCCCAGTCTCACTAGAGTGTGTATCTCTCTTGTATCTTCCTACAGGCTGTTAGACGCTTCCTTAAAAATTCTTCTCGTATCACCATTAACTCCAAATCAATGGGCAACCGAAGCACACTACCGAAGAGTATGCTTGCTGGTATTTTTGCACGGCTATCCTCTAGTGCTCTTTCAGGTTTCGTATGTATCGTTCTGATTGGGGAAGTAAAGCTGTCGTCGTTACCAGACCGGCTGCATCCTTGGGAACTCGTTCCAATAGTTCACCCGAGTTATATTGCTTCATCTGTCTATGACTTCTGAATTTCGGCCCTTTAGCTGCAATACACTTCCTGCAGTTTGATCTTCTCCAAGGTTTTCGTAAACTCCATCTGCCATTCCCTGAGGCTATTGTAAAATTCCTTGAAGCGTTCGGAATTCTCGACTTCGTAACTACTAGATTGCGTGACCACTGGCTATCTTCATTTTCCCACACATACAGCCATATAGTACCTGTTCTATTTCGCCCAGTACTCCTTCGAAATTGAATTTTCTGCTGACATTTACTACATGGTCGACGGGAAATAGTGCGAGCATTCCGGATTTGAATACTAAAGTCATAACTTTGCAGCTCGTAAATCTATAGAGCTAGGTGTCCCTTAGGACTCTTGAACTGTAGTAGCCACTCTAGCGCTGCATGATCCGTCCTAACTCAGAAATGGTGTCCATATAGGTACTTGTGGAAATGTTTGAGACAATCTACCACCGTTACTAGTACTCGCAGTAGTTCCACTCTAGCTTTCCAATAGACCGGCTAAAATAAGCAACTGCCTTCTGCTGCTCAACAATGGGCTGTGAAAGCACGCCTCCTCTGACATTACCCCTAGCATTCATATCCAGAATAAATGTTGCACCTGGAACAATGTACGCTAACATAGGTGTAGTGCATAACTGCACCGCTTACGCGACTTTAGCCGAACTAATCTTAGAGCGCCATTCCTCTCTTTTTTTCTCTGCCTGGCGTCAATTGGAAATACCAAGTGAAAACACTCTCCACCTGATCCTTCCAACGCAGTGGAGGTCTTCCACTTCCTCTGCTTCCTCCAGCTTCAAAGTTGGAGTTCTTTCATCTATTCGGACGACATATATCATCATATAGCATTTACAGCACATCGCTCCATCGTCTGCGGTATTCGCCGTTGCCAATGCGCAAAGGACCATTAATCCTTCGCAAAACTTTTTTCGCTATATAGTAGACTTGTAGAGTTTGGCTTTCGTTTAATTGCCTACTTAGTCCAAAGTAGCACCTGTTGGCAATCGTGATTCTGCGTTGGATTTCAAGGCTGACGTTATTATTGATGTTAATGCTGTTAAAACTTTTAAATAACAAATTATGTTAAACTTTCTAATTGCGGAAATGTCAACCCCTCCGAGTGTATTTCTGACATGAAATAGAACTCTTCATAACAAAAAAAAAGTCAGCCATCGGCTTAGTATAAACTGAAGGTTCCTCCATTTTGTAGGAAAAACATGAAGACACAAAATCACAAATTGGAGTAGGAGCTCGGCGGAAAATCGCTTTAACGGTTACAAAGCACCAATTATATTATATAATAAGTTAAAAAAAAGTCACACGATAAAGAGTACCCTTGTCTGAAACCTCGTTTGGTATCGAACGGCTCGGAGAGGTCCTACCCGATACTGATGAAGTTTTTGGTGCTTAAGTTTCGAGGGGGTACCAAATTCAGACATAGCGGCGTAGATGCAGATCCTTTTCGTGGTGTCGAAGGCTGTATTAAAATCGACGAAAAGGTGATCTGGTTCAATCTTCTTTTCACGGGTCTTTTCCAAGATTTGACGCATGGTGAATATCTGGTCAATGTTTGACTTACTAGATCTGAAGCCACACTGATAAGGTCCAATTAACTTGTTGACGATGGGCTGTAGTCTTTCACACAATATGCTTGATAGAACCTTATATGCGATGTTAAGAAGGCTTATTCCACGGTAGTTGGCGCAGACTGTGGAATCGCCTTTTTTGTGGATTGGGCAGAGCACACGTAGGTCCAATCGTCGGATATGCTTTCATCCGATGCTTTAATCCATCAGTCCCCGCCGCTTTGTTGTTTTTTTAAGCGGGCGATTGCTATTCGGACTTCTTCATAGTCGGGAAATGAAACAACTTTTCCATTATCATCAATTTTAGTTTCAATTTCACTGATATTCAGCAGGCTAGAGAAGTGATCCCTTAACAGATTCAGTATACTCTCGGCACCCGTCACTTTTCTGCTTCTATATTTTCCTTAGCAGTGCAGGCCTTTGTTGTTACATGATGACCTAAATAATTCACATCCTTCTTGAATAATAAGAATTTTTGAAAGGTATTCGCCTAGCGTGACCATCAGTTGAATGTTTCATATCGTTGACTCTGCTTGCCAATGGAATGGTCTTTGTCTGATATGTGGAAACGAAATACCAACAGGCTTTAAACGCCATTCACCGAAAGTTTGTGCATACTCATAAATAAACTCTTTTACCGTAAGTGGCGTCAACATAATCCAATCACCACATTACCAGATGAAGAGCTCGAGCTGCCTCGCAGAACCCGAATAATACCGGCACAATTAAGGTTCGGATTCATCGGTCGTTCGTAGTCGGCTTAAAATAAATTCCATTGATGCAAAAATATCAAGACGAAAAACCATAAATTTGAGGAGGACTACGACCGAAAATAGTTTGAGCGGTTACAGAGCGCCAAAGATATTATTATTATTATATTATTATTATTATTATTATTATTGGATATTATGAATCCCTCTCGAAATAAATATTGTCTCAATATATCTTTGTGTTATTCGTTAAAGCATGCCTAGTCGAATTTGCAACGTTTATGTGAATGATTATAATATCAGCTGACATATATATTGTTGCGAAAATGCGAGGCGAATGTCAGATGAAAGAGAGAAGCCGATAACACAAGAACCTTCCATAGCGAACAATTCGATGCTTCTACGCTTTCGTCTGCGAGCAGCCGACTGCTATATAAAGGCGACACTCAGCTGCAAGTGAGGCAGTGACAAAGCAAATTGGTTGGCGTTAACATCAGTGAAGACGTAAAGTGAACGCGTAGGGAATTACATTTAAGTAGAGGAAATTGTGAAAGTTGATGTTAGTGATTATAAATAGTAAAGTGCAGTATAATTGAATTGTGAATTACTGAGAGAATAAAGGACATTAGATAGAATCTTTATAACGAAAGAAACTGCAAACTAAGCTGGCGAGTTTTTATTTAACAATCCAGAGATCGTACCCGAAGGATCTAGAAAATAATCGAGGTTGATTCAGTAAAATCGTAACAATATGTATATTTCGTTTTTGTTTGAACGTTTGGTAACTTCAGTAATTTTTTTGTTTCATTTGTTCTACCGGCTAATTTTCAACACATGAAAAAGGGAAATCACACAGATTCTTAAAGGTTGCACCCACTGCATATACATTTACCCATTTCTGCAAATACAACAAAGAGCGTAATTTACCATTGGAGCAGTGCCACGTAAGCATATTTGATAAAGTGTTTTGCATGTTATGCTCGATCGCAATTCAGAATCGTAGCAGTAGCAGCAAGGATCAGATGCTAGCAAAAATAACCACAAGATACAATATTCGGAAAGCAAAATAATCAATTTTGTAGGAATGGAAAAATCCAACGTACGTATGAAAGATTTGTGGTTGTGACTATATTTTCAGATAACTACATATATACATACGTACATATGTTTTGTTATATTTTATAATAGCAAACTTCTCCAAAAGAAATGGAGCCCCGCCGTTATCAGATGGAACTTCTAAATTATGTTATGAATCGGAATGCTGTAATCTACCTTCCAACTGGAGCCGGTAAAACATATGTCGCTATAATGGCACTCAGGCAGTTTTCCCATAAAATGCAAGAGTGAGTTAACACAATCATACGTACATTTGTATATCTAGATATATCTATTATAATGTTCTGTTAAATTCGTATTTATACAAAAAATTCTCATTTGTATAAAATAGGACAATAGAGAATGGTGGAAAACGGTCTATATTCATGTGTAACACTGTGGAGTTAGCACGTCAACAAGCCATAGAGTTAAAAAAATGTACTAACTTAAAAATTGGATTCTATGTAGGCGAGCGTGATGTGGATAGTTGGTCCCGACATAAATGGGAGGAGGAAATTAAAGAAAATCAAGTAAGTATGAGTATAAAATTACTATGAAGAGAAATTACATATATTTTATGCTGCATAGGTTCTCGTTGGTACCGCACAAATTTTTTTGGATATAGTGTCTCAAAATTTCATTAAAATTACTGATTTAAGTGCTGTCGTAATTGACGAATGCCACCATGCAACAAAAAGCCATCCAATGCACGAATTTATGCGACTTTTCCAAGACATCCCAGACAAAACTAATTTGCCTCGTGTGATAGGTTTAACTGGTGTATTGTTAAAGGGTAACAAACTACATAAAATACGCGAGGAACTTGAAAACTTAGAGGCAACTTTCCGGGGTAATATTATTACAGTCAGTACTATGGAAGAATATCACAATGTGATGACGTAAGTAGTGCTCTTGAACTGTTATTCACATTTTTGAATACTGAAAACTTCGTTCATTTAGATTTTCAACAAAACCAGCAGAAAAACTCATTGCATATAGCAATCAAAAGCATAATTTTAAATTGACGGAAAAGATTAATCGAATAATTAATGAATGTTGTAGTATAATAGATCTATGGGATCTGGGAACAATAACATCAAAACAAACGAAAAATTTGGGATCTCTACGTGAGCCAAATAAAAAAAATTTTATAAAGAATCTTCTAAAAGATTTTGTATATCAAATGGATGAATTTGGTTTATATGCGTCCGCTATAGCAATAATGTCACCTATTATTGAATTTGAGCTTAAGAAACGATCAGCTGAAACAATGGCTTTGCGTAATCTTTACCGTTATGCTATTAGTACTTGTGAAAAGATACGTCACATGCTTGTAAACGAATTGAAGGAAGAAGATACAGACCCAGATAGCGCTTGCCACACGAGGGATATTATACTTAATTTTGCTACTCCTAAAATGCGTTCCCTACTTGGCTTAATAGAACAACAATTTGCTAACAAGGACCCGGCAGACATTCGCTGTTTGATATTTGTCGAGCGTCGCTACACTGCTAAATGTATATATTATGTTCTACAAAAATTTATTGAATTGGAACCAAATCTAGCTAAATCCTTGCGTCCGCAGTTTATGATAGGACGTAACTCTATAGCGCCAAGCATAGAAAGTATTCTTGACCAAAAATGGAACAAATCGGTAAGAGAAAGATATTTTTACTGTTAGCTAACATTATATATAATGATTCATGCAAATAAGAGATCGGAAACAACTGGTTTTTTGCTTCTGATAAACGCCGGTGATTTTCAGTCTGTTTATAAGCATACATAAAAACATGTGTGCATTACGCAATATACACTCATAACCCACCAAAAGTACAATATCAATTACATTGCATTAATATGTACATATATATGTTTATATTATCATAGATTATATATATGTATGTATTTTCAAACTTGCATAAAAAAACTAAATAAACAGTGAGGTTTTTTACAAACATATAAATATATATAAACCAAACACATATTTAGGATTAAATTTCACTATTAAGAAAAATTTGCACTTGCCGTCATGAAAACTACTCAATATAATTGAACGTAGTTAACATTAACTAATTAAAACAGATAAAACGTAAGATGTATTTATTTATACACAGGTAATCGAAGGCTTTCGCACTGGTGAAAGCAATTTACTCGTCTGCTCCAATGTACTGGAAGAAGGTATTGATGTACAGGCCTGCAATTATGTTTTCGCTTATGATCCACTAAAGACCTTCAATTCTTATGTACAGACAAAAGGTCGGGCACGTAGTAATGAATCTCAGTATGTTATTTTCACACCGGAAATAGATAAAAACAAAGTTATATTACAAATTAAAAAATATCAAGAAGCGCATAAAATGATACAGGAATTCTTGATTGGGCGAATCTTGGATAGAGATGATCCCACAGAGGATGCAGTTGCTGAACAGTTTGTAGATCTTATTCCACCCTTTATTGTGCCGAGTGGTGCGTGCTTGTTGGCTTCGGGGGCATTATCTCTCTTACATCGTTACTGTCAACTGTTGCCTACTGATGCTTTTGGGTTCGCCATGCCATGGTTCACTAAACAACCACCGACTAAGCAGGGCATATGCGTCGAATTAAATATGCCCCTTCAATCCTCAGTGAAGGAGACTATATTGGTTCGTAATAAATATAAATTTATGATATTGATAAAAGAAAACGCTAGCTTCATTAATTGTCAAAACTTTTTTTTTTCAACACAGAGCGATCTATATCCAACAGCTAAACTCGCAAAAATCTCAGCTGCTTTTAAAGTTTGCAAAAGGCTATACGAACAAGGTGAACTGAATGAACGACTACTCCCGGTTACTAAGCGTGAATGTGTAGAAAAAGTTTCGGAGGATCTTTTTGAACATTGGAAAAAATTCAAAGATAATAGTAAGTTATATTCATCCTTATTTCTTAACTATATAATAGCCAATAAGATAATATTAAGTTATATTCATCCTTATTTTTTAACTATATAATAGCCAATAAGATAATATTAAGTTATATTCATCATTATTTTTTAACTATATAATAGTCAATATGGCGGTCGCGGTGGCCGAGTTGATGGCATTGCGTACTGCCTTTCGGAAGGCTCGCGTTCAAAACCCGTGCGACCAACATCCAAAAGTTATAGAACTTAACGCCTCCGAGTGTAATTCTAACATGAAATAAAGCTCCTCACAAAAAAACCATCAGCCGTTAAGAGGCGGCTTAGCGTAAACTGAAGGTTCCTCCATTTGTTGGAAAAACATCAAGACGCGAAACCACAAACTGGAGGAGGAGCTCGGCGGAAAATCGCTTCAGCGGTTACAAAGCCCCAATTATATATTGGATGAGTGCATAAGTTCGTGCCCGATTCCGCTGGATGCCGTTCGAATCGTTTGAGAGTGACGCTCGTGAAAGAAATATATACATATTATATATCGTTGGAAAGGTGACAGTCCGAACTGTAAATCAAGCATAAAATAACTTCATTTTGATTTGAGTTGCTTAGTGAAAAGACACATGGAATATGGACAACGAAAAAGATCATGTGCGTCATATTATGTTATACGAATTCCGCAAAGGAAAAACAGTAGGCGCAGCAACTAAAGATATTCGCCCAGTTTATTTGTACCGTGCTCCAGCACTCCGCACAGTAAAGAAATCGTTCGCGAAATTTCGTTCTGGAGATTATAACCTCGAACATCAACCTCGCAGTGGACGGCCTTCTGAGCTTGATGACGATGTTCTAAGGACTTTAGTTGCGAATAACTCACGTATTTCGACGGAAGATGTTGCCAGTGAATTGAACGTCAACAAATCAACTGCGTTTCGTCGTTTAAAAAAGGTTGGGTGCACTTTGAAGCTCGATACATGGGTGCCACATCAGTTGAGTGAAAAAAAGAAAGTGGACCGTATGTCAACAGCAATTTCTTTGCTTCGACGGATCAAAAACGAACCTTTTTTTGATCGGCTCGTGACTGGTGATGAAAAATGGATCCTATACAACAATGTTCAACGCAAAAGAACATGGAAACCGGCACACGAAGGGGCGGAACCGATGTTGAAAGGTAGATTGCATCCGATGAAGGTACTGCTATGCATTTGGTGGGATATCCGAGGCGTGATCTATTTTGAGCTCTTGCCAGCTGGATAAACGATCACTGCCAACAAGTATTGTCAGCAATTGGCCGAATTGAAGAAAGCAATTGATGAAAAACGTCCGATTTTGGCCAATTGCAAAGGAGTTCTTTTCCATCATGACAACGCCAGGCCACATGTTGCAAAACCGACCCTGGCCAAACTGAAGGAGATGAATTGGGAAATCATGCCGCATCCCCCATATTCACCCGACATTGCACCTTCTGATTATCATTTGTTTCGATCCCTGCAGAACAATTTGAATGGAAAAAAATTTAAAAATGTGGAAGACGTCAAAAACCATCTTGACACCTTTTTTAACGAGAAACCGCGCGATTTCTATGAATTAGGCATCCGTAAATTGGTTGAACGTTGGGAGTGGATTGCCGAACATGTTGGCGAACACATAATTGATTAATAAAAGCGCTTTCTTCAAAAAATTTCAATTTTAGTTTGCACTTGAAATCGGGAACGAACTTATGCACTCATCCAATATATATATATATATGTGTGTGTAATAGTCAACGGATAGCTGATACCGTACCGTTAATCTAAATGCGGTTAGGACGCCGATACGGTGCCGGTAACAGCTCTTGGCGCCATAAAATCCGGCTCAACTCCGGTGCGTAGAACCGGCTGTCGAAGTCAAATCAGCACCCATAGCAGATGAAGCTCAAGTTGCCTAGAGGTTGTCCCGCGCGATACTGGCGTAATTCAGGTCTGAATATTGTAGCAGGTTAAACTTCTACCTATACAGACTCGACTTCGACATACCTAGCAGCTCGTTTCCTGGAGCTCCCGTTAGATGCCCTCGGTTACTTACATTAATTAGCCTGTCCCTAAGCGGGGTTGGAAAATCCGCTAAAACAACAACAACAGCTGAGGCTGTTGAATAAAGAAGGGAGCTCTGCTAACACTCTCTTTATAGGAAATTAGTTGTTTATATGTATGAAAGTGTAAGTGTAAGTGTAGAGTAAATTAACTGCTTAAAAATATAACCCTTTCAAATGTTTCATGAATATAGTATTATAGCCTTGTTCCAACGGGTATACATAAATGCCAGTGAGATAAGTAAAAGTCTCACCAGAGTTTCTATTAAAATGATGCGACTGTAATGAGTTTTCCTGATATTTTTTTTTTTTACAGTCACATCTAAAACTGCTGGCAAGCAACAACGGCGTCTTTATAATCGAAAATATCCGGATGAGCTTTATAATGCAGTTCCACAGGTGAACGAAGTTTGCTACGTCTACGAGATACACGCACATCCACATTATGAAATCGACAGTTATACAGAACATATAGCCGAGCTATTAAATACTAATTGTAACTATGCTATTTTGACACGTAAACGATTGCCACCACTCGCAGAAATGCCCTTATTTATGAATCAGGGTAAACTATCAGTAAAAATTTCCCCGGAACCAATTGTAGTAACCATATCAAGTGAACAACAATTGAAACAATTATCGAAATTCCATTTAATGATCTTCCGGGATATATTGGAGTGTTGGAAGAGTTTCCTTGTGTTGGATCAACGTAACCAAGAGAACGCATACCTTATAGTGCCGATGAATGCGGGTAAAATTGATTGGAATTTGGTGCAAAATTTCCAAAGTTTGCTACCGCAACGCAAGTACAGTGTCGCTGAAAGACAGAAAAAGGTATATAAACCGGAGGATTATTTGGGGAAAGTGATTAATAAATGGTACTCAGGCAGGGAAAATCAACGTTTCGTTGTAACCAAAGTATTAACTAATTTAACACCTGAAAGTCCATTCGATAATAATCAATTTTCAAGTTATATTGATTTTATTGATTGCAAATATAAAACTGAAGTAGATCGTGTTGTGCAAAAGGATCAATTCATGTTAGAAGTACGCGCCTTAACTTCCCGACGTAACTTTTTTATAAATGCCATTGGAAAATCAGCTAAATCTCATCAGAATAATTCTATCATACATCTCATACCTGAACTTTGTCACAATTTTATGTACCCGGGTGATATGTGGTTAAAAGCTTTACTACTGCCAAGCATATTACACCGCGTTCATTTCTTGTTGCATGCTGAAGAGTTGCGCCGCCGAGTTAATAAATATCTAGGTATCGCAGACAAAGTGGCATACCAACCAAAGAAATTAGTAGTCGACGAGTCCTTGGCTCGTGCTGTGGATCATGATGGCAACGCTATGGAAGAACCAGAGGTGAGAAATTAAATTATTTTTATTTTTTGTTTTATGACACTTAATTAAATAACAATGTAACTCCTAGTCGATTTTGTAGAGGGGTAACCAGCAGATTTCTTGAATGATTTACTAATTAGTTTTGCTTGGTGGCCTGAATGGCAGTAAAAATTTTTACTGCATAGGGTTCGGTGAAGCAAAAGCCAGTGAAATTTGCAACAGGCTAATTCTTATTGACATTTCTCATTGATATTTCTTAAGGAGAATATTTTCACGCCCAATCGAAATCATATCAGGTTAATAACTATTCGATTTCGACACCATAAGCTAGCTTTTTCATTCCTTGATGTTTTCTAGCTCATTTTTCAGAAACTGTTTCGTATATATATTATATATGTACACGTATGTATGTATTTTACTTAGTAGCAATCGGAAATATATTTAGTTAGCAACGATGTAGAAAACCAATAGAATTTCAGCACAAACAATCCTAGGATTTCCACTAATTCCATCCTTAAATGTTAAATTTATGAATATATTGAAAATAATTAATTTGTAATCTTTACTATTATTATCAACAACTTAAGTATACTAAATTATATATATACATATGTTTCGTAGGAACAAAAAAAACTACTTCCTGCTTTGCCAACCCGCTGCACCAAGGCCGTTTATGAAATTCACGATATAAATGATGTATCCTGGAAGGATTATTTAGAGCCAAAAGACTTTTCACGCAAAACAAATTCGGTATATCCCGTTGAATTAGATTATTACTACAAGTTTATAAATGGCTTGGCAGTGGAACTAGATGCTTTGAAATTGAACGAAGAGGAATGGTCACAGTCGCAACTGAATATGCCGAAAATATGTTCGTCTGATGCATCAATAAACGATTTGAATATCGGCCGCATGTCAGTATGTGATGTTCCGATGGTTGATAAACGTCGCCTTGATATTTTGGAATTGACGCTTAGTGGCCAGGATTTGCAGTCCGCCGAACAAGCCGACTTTTTGGCCGCCATTACAACAGCCGGCGCTAATGACGTCTTTGATATGGAACGATTTGAATTTTTGGGAGATTCCTTCTTGAAGTTTTCAGTTTCCTTATATTTGGTTCATAAATATCCGAAATGGCACGAGGGATTTTTAACTGAAATCAAAGGGAAAATAGTGTCAAATAGAAATCTAATCTACTGTTTGCTCGAAACTGATATACCGGAAAGAGTTTGTGGATACTTATTTAAGCCTCCACATGAGTGGTTGCCACCGCTTGTCAGCTTACCGAGCAACCTTTTAGATGCCATTACTAAAAATAATGACATTTTAAAAGGACTCACACCGAGTGACCTGTATTCAATTGAGTTAGATGATAACGAGATTTTCAGCGGTTGCTGTACAGCTGAACATCTGCGCAAGGTCGTGGCCAGCGGTACACAAACGCATAGAATTCTGGATGGGCCAGCAGGGGAGGAAGCGCGTCTGGACAATGAGTTGAATTTGTTTGCCTACAAAGATACGTTGCGGGATAAATGTGTAGCCGATACATTGGAAGCGATACTTGGTGTTTGTGTAAAGAATTATGGTATTTATAATACATTCCGTATGTTGGAGTTCTTCGGCATATGCAAGCCTGACCCAGGTCAGTCATTGTCCCGTTTAATGGATCTCAAGTTTACCAGCCCATTATTACAAACAAATATTTCATCGCGCGAAGTTGACAGTTTTTTAATCAATTATAAGAAATTAGAGGAAAACTTAGGTTATGAATTCCGTGATCGCTCGTTTTTGTTACAGGTAACGCTAAACATTCACTTAAACTACTTTATGTTTTGTTTTCCTGATAATAAGTTAAAATTCTTCATAGGCCTTGACCCATCCATCATATCCGACTAATCGCATTACTGGCTGTTATCAAGAGCTTGAGTTCATCGGTGATGCCATATTAGACTTTCTGGTTTCATGTTACATCTTCGAACGCTATCGCCATATGACGCCGGGCAAATTAACGGATTTGCGTTCGGCATTGGTAAATAACATAACATTGGGGTGCGTATGTGTGCGTCATCGCTTCCATTTATATTTGTTAGCTGAGAATAGTGTACTTGCGGAAAAAATTAAAGATTTCGCAAAATATCAAGAAACACATAATTACATTGTTACCGATCAAGTTCACATTTTGATGGAAGAGAATGTTATGGCCGAAAGCGAAACAAACGGTACCACTTTTAATTTGTCGGCCAACGTCGACGTTCCCAAAGCCCTTGGAGACATTTTGGAAGCTTTAATTGCTGCAGTGTATCTGGATAGTCGGGACTTGCGCACAACTTGGCATGTCATATATGGTTTACTGGAGCAGGAATTTAACCAATTCAGTCAGCATGTGCCTATAGATGCAGTACGTCAATTGAACGATCATAAACATGCCAATCCTAAATATGGTGATCCAGTTGTTGACAATGACACTTACATGGTGAAATGTCAGTTCACGTGCCTGGATAAAAGTATGGAGGTTAATGGTTTTGGATCCAATGGCAAACAAGCCAAAAAAGCAGCAGCTAAGCATGCACTCCAAATTTTGGCGAAACATTCGAGTTAATTATTTTAGTGTATGTATGATTCTTCCACGATGAGATTCAGTTTTCATCATCATATCATTAATATTTTTTTCACAAAACATAAATACCAATAATACTCCATTTAAAATCAAAATATCTTTAAGATATGTGGCTTAGAAGTGGTTGTGTATTGCTTTAAGTGATGTAATATCACAATTATCCGATGAGCTCTCGGACTATGAGCTTAATTTTCGTGTGATTTTAACTCTGTTTTTGTTTTAAAATATATCTAAGTTATTTGTGCATTAATGTCTATGTATAAAATTATAATTATATGTAAATTTGATTTCATTTACATCGAACATCATCGTCGAGAAAATGTGCTTGTAAATACCAAAGTATTTTCAAAATCAAATTTTAGTCTTAAAATTTTATGATTTCATTCAAAGATTTTTTTTTTAATATCTTGTGCAAAATATTTTGTTCACATATTTTCTTAAAAAAAAAAACCAAAGGATATTCAATGCAAACTATTTTCTAGAGATTACGTCATATCTGTCACCGACCTTTATATTACTAGCTTTAAATACTTGTGCTTGCCGCATTAGTTCATGGAAAATATATATGTACATAGTTCTTAATTGAAATAAAAATTGAGTTTTGTTATTACAAATAAGAAACCATTTAGTTTAATTTTTTGGTAGTGAAAATTTAATTTGCGAGACGTTAAATTGAAAATGATATATGCATTTTGCAATAAAGGGAATTCGTTGTAACGCTAACTATAAACGTTTTGTGATATATGTATGCCGAAATATGAAAAAAATGTTTTATTACACCAAATACCAAACGAATGATCTGCAGGTACTCCTCTATTGCATGATTTTTAAACACCAGATAGTGAAGGGAAATAGTTGTCAGGAAGTGCAGGCAGCGGAAGGACTTTCAAGGCAGCTCGAGCTCTTAGTATGCAATAGGTGGGGGTTTGCCTCCAAATACGTCGTACACGTACGTGGAAGAGGGAGGAAGAGAGGATGTGTTAACGGACTCTCTGTGAATGGCGTTTAATGCCTGTCGGTAAGCCGTCCTGTTTAGCCTTTGTTGTAGATGGTGCTAAATGCAGTCCGTAAGGTCGAGTACTTCTTTCCTTTGTCATGAGCTTAGGGTGTTGCAGCTTCTAGTAAGTGTGTGTTGCGGTGTTCCCTACGGAAGCATCCCAGCAGGAATTGCTTACACAGCAAAGCAAATATCTTTAAGCTATTTATAGTCGGAAGTCGAGTTTCACATCGAGTTCGAGTCGGTGCACCTTCGTCCAGTTGGTGAAGACTGTAGCCGAGGAGTTTGTAGCTTGTACTCGTATTTGCCTTGGCATGGAGAAGCTGGAAAATTCGTCGAGACAGTATTTTTTTGCCGAACATAAATCATCAATATCTTTGCCAGACGCCAATATCGAGTAATCATAAGAGATCAGTGAAACCCCTTTCAGTGGAGGAGGGAGTTTCGAGACATCAAAGCCAAACAGCAGTGGGGAGGGAACATTAATATGCAGGATCCCTTGCTTAATCTTTCTAGATTTGGATGAACGACCTCAAAGTTCTACCGATGACTGACGACCACTAAGGTCTAAGCACTCGCAATTGTTTCGTCTGGTGAGCTTCGGCAATTACCTGTAGAATCGGCTACCTGTTCTTCTAGCTCTATCCCTGTACGGACATTTGACAAACTAGAATGCCAAAGATCGTGGTACGAGTTAAAGTCTCTCAAAAACAAAAGGTTTTCGCTTCCGAGTAGGGCATCTATATCAGGAGGGCATCCCACTGAGCAACAATTAACTAGGGGGGTGAATATATTAAATATTTTAAGCTCGACATCGCCTGACCGAACAGTTATGCTTTGACATTCTAGGGGAGTATCGCCGCAGTCGATGTCGTCATTAATAAAACGATACTCTGGATGATTTTGTCTCCGACTCGGGTGGGCGGGCAACTTATGTAAACGAAAAGTTGACAGTCCTGTCCGTACAAAATCTATGTTGCTTCCTGTGCGTAGAACCGGCTGTCGTGAGAACTGCGGTTGCTTAGCGAACTTGCTAATGAACGAAATGCGTCAATTATGCTTGCAGAGGACAATCTATTCATTTTTGTACTAATAATTTAGCCATGTCTTTTGTATCAGCTGTTTTTCAAAACACATGTTTTACACAAATCGGAAGGATGGAAAAAATTGAGAAAACAGCTGATTTTCATTAAATCCTGAAAGCAATTGATCGTACTTATAACTTTATGAAATATTAAATGTATGTAATTACATCATATATACATTAATAATTGTATCTTTGCCGTGAATTATTTATCATAGTTAAAATTTCTCTCACAGAAAATATGTCATTAAATACCGTGGCTGCTGCACAACAAACGGAAGACCCCGTAGAATTTATGCTCAAAAAAACAGGTTGTATTGAATTACATTATAAAGTGCAGGAGTGTATTGCGGAAACCGGAGATTGGCGGCGCTGCCAAGAGGTGGTTAAGGAGTTTAAACAGTGCATGCAAAAATACACAGACCAACAAATGAAAAAGTACGAACAATCAAAGTGAAACACCAACGTTTTTAAGTTTATTTTATAGAAAGTAGTAATTATGATTAGAAAAGTCTTTAGTGCCCTTACAGCACCTCGTACAAAATTAGTGTTAGTGGTGCGGGGTGATTTAAAAATGTCTAAAGGGAAAACTGCTGCTCAATGTGCACATGCTGCCATTCTGTGCTATCAACAATCTCAAGAGTTAAGCAAAAAGCAGAAATTGGTGGAAAGTTGGTCTCTTTCAGGGCAACCCAAAATTGTGCTGCGGGTAAATACACTAGAAGAACTTAAGCGTTTACAGGATCGAGCAAATAATGCAGGGATGGTCGCCGAGATAGTAAAAGATGCTGGTCGCACACAGTTGGAGGCTGGCACTGCAACAGTTTTGGGTATTGGACCCGACATTGAAATTAATGTAAACGAATTGGTATCACATTTAAAATTGCTGTAGCTTAATTAACTACTGAAGAAATAAATTACTAAACAATACCGACTAAGAAGTAAATATTTTGTTATTTATATTTTTGGTTACATTTTTTTACTTTCATTAGCTTTCTTGCTTCTGGTGGCAATGGTTAAGGATATGGGTTTTCCAAATGTTTCAACTAAATCGGACGTAACGCGTTCGGTGATTTGCTTCAATTTTCCATTAGATTCTCCACATATCAAACGTTCGATGCGGGATGAGGGGCAAGTTACTTCAACTGACGCATATATAGTGCCTGTAGATGTATGAAAATTTTTGCTTTGATATTATTCATTATACGCATATTACCTTTCTCCTCGGAGTAGTATTCAATTTGACTATGTAAGTTATATGGTATTTCTTGAGGTAAGTAGTCTAATAACCTGGCTCGTACACTCTCAACAACAATCGCCTCTGGAGTTTCGTCTGTGAAGGAACCTTTGGAATACTCCCAAGCGCGTTCTTTAGCAACCTTAACAAGATAATCCTAAGGAAAATAATTATATTGTTATACATGATCTTATATATTTACTAAGGACTCAGTCATAAGAATCTTACATGGATATCATTTAGTCCACTACCAGTTAGTGAAGATACCAAAAAAACCTCCTGGAAATTACTCCAACTAACATCCTTTTCTTTCTTTTCTTCTGATAAAGCGGGCGACTTATCTTGAGTTTCTTCGATTCTCTTGGATCGGTTTTTTTGTTTACGACTCCATAATGATTGTGTGCTGCTAATGGTATCATTTGTAAGAACGCGAATTAATTCTAATAGCACGCGTTTTGATTTTAATGCATCAATTTTGTTTAAAATCAAAAAGCTGGGTAAATGTTTATATTCATTTAATGTCTCTAGAACAGTTGAATGTAAAGCGTTTCGTGACCACGAGTTGGAAACATCATGCATACAAGCAATAATATCCGCATGTTGAATGGCGTGTTTGTATGCACTTTTGAAATTTTGTTCAAGATTATGGCGCTTAATTTCTCGAGGTGTTACTAAGCCTGGAGTATCATAGAATACAAGTTGTGTTTGCCCAGATGTGTAAATGGCTTTGCTAGCTTTCCGAGTGGTGTGGACTTTCGAAGATGTAGGGCACACCTAAATAAGATATATTGAAAAAAATATATATATATATAATTTTCTTACGAACGCTCACCCTGTGATTTATCAAATTATTGATAAAGGTACTCTTGCCCGCGTTGGGTACACCAATTACGGCAATATGTAATGAATTTTGGGATCGTTGGGATTGTGTTTTCTGTTCATGGCTTATACGTTCAGTAGCATTTGCTGCCGGAACATTGGAGGAGTTCTTTGCCGTTGAATTTTCTTGAATTGAAGACAAACATCGACATTGTATATTTCTTAACCAAATTCCATTGATTCTGCTAAAAGTTAGGGAATATTTTGTAGCAAGCACAAAATTATTAAATAATTGCATTACTGCGTGGAAAATTATAGAATCACAATTACAACACCAAAAAACAATAAACAATAAATGTGAATTGGACGAACTGACAGCCGAGGCAAGGCGAATTCATAAAAAGTAAAGTGAAAGAACGTATTGATTTACGTTATTTAGTGAAGTGCCAATAGGACTAGATCACGCAAGAAGCAAATGTAATTGCAATTGATGTTGGATTCATGAATAAGTTTCCTTGTATATTTTGATTTTGATTTAACTTAATTGTTCCAAAGAACGAAAAATACATATCCTTAAAGTATTTGGGAAGTCATGGAGGTTTGATAGCTAAAATTTTTATACCATCAAAAAATTTAATCTGAAATGAAAATTTTTCGACAACGAAGGGAAATCAGTTAAATACAAACCCAAAGTGTGGCAATACTATATAATTCCCATTTACAGTACGAATTCGCTTATATCGCGTACTCCGTTTATCTGCCGTTTATTTCTGTGTTTGTCGCAAACAGCTGAATTGATTGCACTTGTGTTTTACCTGGAATGATAATATTTAATTAAATTGAATATTTCCTAAAGTACTTAAAATTAGAAGTTGTTATCAAGAAAACTATTATTTTAATTAAATTAAAACTTATTTAAACAGCTAAAATGTCGGAAGTTGAAGCAGTCCAAATAATTGCAGAGTCTTTAAAAGAACAGGTGAGAGATTTGATGATGAGTTGGGTGACAGTAGCTGATGATGGTTTTTTAAAGAAATGAAAATATTACCGATAGGGATGTGCCTAATTTCCAATACACGGTAGCTACGACCATAATACAATGTTGAAATGATATATGTATATATGTATGAAGATTTTTTGTTATCTTGCTAAATACTTAATCAGCAACACAGTTCGTTGTTCAAAGTGCACCTTATAACCCTTTCAAAAATATTTTTAATTGGATTAAAGCCCGTATGAACCCCCACAATCTGTTTTTTTTTAATCTCTACACTGCAACACTTATCTAAAAATCTTATTTGATAAAGAATTTTGAGGAAGAACTTACAGATAATTTTAATAGAATTGATTTTCAATTGCGCATTGAACCAAGTTACTAGATAATTCATTATGTGTTTACCATAATATAGATATTATATTTATGATTATTATCCCGGGTATTTTTAGGCCACTATGTTTGAAAAGCCTTTTTTTTCTTATACATATACATCATTTCTCCTGCTTGGTTTTTCTATACATGTACATATATATTTTTAACGTTTTTTTTAAGGGTATTGAATATGTTTTCGGTATAATCGGAATACCTGTCATTGAACTGTCGATGGCTTTTCAAGCTGCTGGCCTTAAATACATTGGCATGCGCAACGAGCAGGCAGCTTGTTATGCCGCTCAAGCAATTGGGTTTCTAACTGGCAAGCCGGGTGTGTGTCTAGTTGTCTCTGGGCCGGGATTGCTTCATGTAACTGGTAAGTTTTTTAACTTAAAACCGCTTAAAACCCAAATGTAAAATTATCCATTTATTATTTAGGTGGCATGGCAAATGCGCAAGTTAACTGCTGGCCAATGTTGGTGATTGCCGGATCTACCAGTCAGGATCATGAGGGTATTGGCGGTTTTCAAGAGTATCCACAAGTGGAAATGTCGCGGCCTTATTGCAAATATGCAGCACGGCCACCAACCGCTTCTCTAATACCTCTGCACGTAGAGAAGGCTGTTCGTTATGCGACATATGGTCGACCGGGAGTATCTTATCTTGATTTCCCTGGCAACATATTGCAGTCTCGAGTACAACAAGATAAGATCTACAAGGTATTGTCATGTCCCCCAGCACCACTGGTGTATCCGGCTCACGACGATGTTATACGAGCAGCGAATTTGTTGCGCTCTGCAAAGAGACCACTTGTGATAATCGGCAAGGGGGCTGCCTATGCTCATGCCGAAAATATATTGCGTCATTTTATAGAGAACACGAATTTGCCTTTCCTGCCAACACCTATGGGTAAAGGTGTTGTCTCGGATACCGCACCGCAGTGTGTCTCGTCTGCACGTTCTTTAGCATTGCAGAAAGCAGATGTTGTGTTGTTGTTGGGTGCACGGCTCAATTGGATTTTGCATTTTGGCAAACCACCACGTTACAGCGCCGATGTAAAATTCATTCAAGTATGTTCACTTCTAATAAATATTACATCTGCATTTGTTTATAATACAAGTTTAAATTCAATAGGTTGACATTTGTCCCGAAGAACTGCATAATTCTGTTCAAGCATCGATTGCCATACAATCGGACATAAAGCCATTTGCTGAGCAAATCTTCGAACAAATGAATGCTGTAAACTTTGAGTTCCTAAGTGAGAATCCGTGGTGGGAGGAACTTGCCAAAAAGTGCAAGAATAATCGCGAACAAGTGCGCAGCATGGCAATGCAAACAACAGCACCTTTAAATTACTATACCGTGTTTCATCATTTGCGTGAGTTGATACCACGCGATGCGATAATTGTCAGTGAGGGCGCCAACACCATGGACATTGGGCGCTCAATGCTTTTTAACATTTTGCCACGTCATCGATTGGATGCCGGCACATTCGGTACAATGGGTGTTGGTCCTGGATTTGCCGTTGCAGCAGCGCTGTATTGTCGAGATCGTTTCCCTGGTAAACGTGTTATATGCGTAGAAGGTGATAGTGCTTTTGGCTTTTCCGGCATGGAATTGGAGACAATGGTGCGTTATAAATTGCCAATAACAATTGTTATTGTAAACAATAACGGTATCTATGGTGGTTTCGATCAAGAAACTTACGATGCCATACGAAATGGCGGTGATTTGTCACAAGTGTAAGTTAAATATTTATATCTGCAACATTGTTGTTGTTCAAAATGGCTAAATCTGAGCTATATTATTTTCAGTACACCACCATCTGCTTTGGGCGTTCAAGTACATTATGAGGAAATGTTGAAAATGTTCGGTGGTAGCGGTTACTTTTGCAAGGAGATACCAGAATTGCAGGCCGCTCTCAAGGATGCACAAAAGCTTACCGATAAGCCAACAATTATCAATGTGGCCATAAATCCATCATCGGATCGCAAACCACAGACTTTCAATTGGTTAACTGAATCGAAATTGTAAATATGCGCCAATATAATTGTGCGATTCCCTTTATGAGCATACATGTATGTATGTATGTATACATTTATATATAATGAGTTGAGCATTGTTACAAATGCAGTTCTTTGATTTTAAAACCATATGCTACACTTTTTCGCCAAAGGAAAGTTTAGATACACATTAAAAGTGCTAAATATCTATTTTGTTTACTTAAGTCCATTAATATGGGTCATTTGGAATATGCAATTCTATTTAAAATAATATTAATATATTGGTTGTGTCTACTGCAGTAACGTTGCTCAAGTATTTTATTTAGTATAATAAAGTTACCTATTTGAACATTCCAATCGCTTGATGGTATGTGTATGTACATACATAAGTATATACATCGATGCCACTTAATTCTTATAAATTAAATATATATTTTTCCGAAACGAATTCAATATCTTTTGTGCATACTTTTAGAAATTAAGTCAAATATTGTACTTTGTATTTTCGGAATTTTCTTAAGAATTTATGTATCCAATTGTATATACAACGTGTGTATGTCTCTTTTATATACCTTTTTAAAACTGTTAAAGATTGTATACTATGATTAGCAAAAATTTTATTCACAATTATGTATGTAAATGAACACATTGCGCAGTGATATATTTTTGAAACAGGGTCCGGTATTGTATTTTCGATGCAACCATTTACAAAGAAGAATTTACTTGTATTTGTTGTTTTGAGTGTAAGTTTAAAATAAAAACGCATTGACAAAATTTTTTTTTTATTCTTATATGAATAACTCTGCGTCTAATTTTGGTGGCACTAACCCGCCAGTTCCTCTTTCGGTTTTGCCTCTTCATCCAAGCCCAAATACTGCAAGAAGCAGTTAATATTCACTAAACGTCCCTTATGGAGGAATGGTATTTTGGGGCATAGTTCAAAATTGATATTCATTGGCGCTATGTCCGGTACTTTGCCGCAACCCATATCGATGAAGTTGAGGAAATCGCATACCTCAACCTCGCCACAATCATTATGATTCAAAACACTAAGCAAATCATCAATCAACTCCGGTACGAAGGGCAGGCGACAACCTTTCATTGTTGAACGTAGTTTCGACTCGGACAAGAACGGCTTATTGAGTGGATTGATGTGATGCAAATGTTCCTTCAGTTCGTCCATAGCATTCCATAACGAACGTTTCAGCTCCAAATGTACGGCTGCGCGCACCGTTTCCCGGTTGCAGGCCTGTGGTGGCGCTTTCTCCGCTGAGAAGTAACGACAAACTGTAATGATTTCATGATTGGTGATCTCGTCGCCTAAAATATTGATAAGTGCACGTTTAAGCGAATCGAAACCAACAAATTGAACATCTTTAATTGATTCCGCGCCTTCCGGTAGACAACGACAAAGAAAGCCCTTGTAGTCGGCCTTCGCTGCATCACGTATCTTCTGCATAATGGTCTTGATATCGGCCATTGGAAATTCATATGGATGGTGCTCCATGTAAATGAGTGTGTACTCATCTGCCGAGACAACGTGAAAGATGTGATCCTTCAAACTCATTGTGGCACCAATATAAAAGTTGTACGGTTGATAGTATTGAGGTCGCTTTGAGGTAAACTTCTCCTGACCCGGCAGTGGTATGCGTGTACGTTTCATGAATTCGCCACCCAAGAAGCCAGAATTGCGTTCAGCAATTTCAAATATTTGTATTGTATCGTCAGATAGGTAATACGAAATGATGAAAATCCGTTCACAGTTTTCGCGTATCGTTGACAAAAGCTTAGCACCATAGCGCAACACGTAACGGTCGAGTTTGATGAATTTCTTAAAGTCTGTCTGTGGCGGTTTGGGCTCGACGGATATGCAATTGCCTTCTGAGTCCTCATAAGATCCCCAACCATTGTACGGTGGCAGTATGCGCTCCTTCTGCTTGATTGGTGCACAGTCGTCACTGCGCGATGGTATCGGCGCAGGCGTAAAGTCCTCAATACCATACTAAGCCAAGTAGTAACAAGTAATAACAAATAAATTAAATTCAAACACATTTCAAGAAATTGAAAATATCACACACCCTTTTTCTGTAATACTCCTGCGTGTAATCATCACAATCGGTAAGCACAACGGCACGTCCATAAACATTTAGCACTGTGCCGATTTGTAGATCTCGATCGGCATAGTAAAGCACCTCCTTCTCGCCGATATTCAGCGGATCGATGGTGTAGCGCACATTTCGCATGCTCGTTCCCAGCACGTTCAACAGGGTTTGCGGTGTCTCTTGTCCAGGTAGTGGAAGTCCAGAAAATTCCTATGGAAAGGTTACTGTTCAATGGGTTTAATAGACAAATTCGGATTAAAGTGGGGCTATGTTTGGTCCATATTGCGCAACTGCGACGACATTTAATTAAATTTAACTAAAGACTTGGTGAGGACATGAAATCATTGTAACCGTAAAAGTGATATTTGGTTGAGCTTCGCCTCAAATATTTAATTTTTTCCCTACAATTTTAAGCCGATTGAAAGCAGTGGATGCACCTTTTAGAAAAATACCCAGACGTACTCATATCCCGCGCCGTGGTGTGATCGCTTCCAAGATGAAATGGGGTTAGAAGTTTGCCTTATCTGCGGTCGGCGAGGATGAATTCCACATTAAAATGACCGAAACTTATATATTACTGGCGCTTTATAACCACTGAAATGATTTTCAGGCAAGCTCCTCTTCCAATTTTTGGTTCTTGCGTTTTGATGTTTTCCAACAAGTAGACGGATCTACAGTTGATACTAAGCCATCTCCGAACGGCTTATGGAGAAATAATAGCTGCTCGTAAAAATCGTTCAGCCGTTTGGAGTAAGGCCAAAAATCGCTCAGCGATTGTAAAGCGCCTAATATTCAAATATGCGATTGACTGATATCTATAGTTTTAAGACTTTCTCAAAGGCGGACTTCACCTAATGATCACACGACTCACTCGGTCAATCAAGCTACAAAAGTCGCCCCCAAGAGCTTTTGTAACTCTTTCAATAATACATATATGGACGTATTACTTACCCTCGGTAGTTTACTCCTCTTCAGGAATAGCGCTGGACCTTCACGTCCAGAGTTGCGTGGGAAAATTTCCTTTATATCTATTGTGTCATCAGCCAAGTAGTAACATATTTCCAATCTACGCACGTCGCCGAATTCCGAACGATCATCCCAATAGCCATGGAATTTCAACACCTTCCGATCGTAGGCTAAAAACTGAGCAAAGGGATGTTTTTTCGGTGGTTGATTGAACGTCTTCTTTCCTGAACGTTTTCTCATTTCCGTCGTGGGATCACTGAAAAATAATTAGTACCAAAATGAGTTGTAATCACACCGACGATTGATCGCATAACTTTCATACAGTGGCATATCAACTGGATCTGGTACAGCAATACCCGAGCGATTTAGGAAATGACGCGTGAAAAGATCACAATTCGTTATATGATAAATTCGATCGAATATTTGTATGCTCGTGTCGACGTTCAAATCCAAAATCGAGATGAACTCATTTTGGCACGGTGGCGGTTTCGGTATACGTTGACGATGCACCAAACAACCTTGTGGTATGCCAGAGTTATCCACTTTAGGTTCGATAATTTGCATGGTGCCATCTTCTAGGTAGTACATAATCTTAACCTTACGCACTTGATAGGGTGCGTTGTATACTTCATGTAGGGTTTCTTTGAAGAAGGCATCGAAACCGAGTACTTTCTTGTCGTAAGCAATCCATGGTGGAAGTTTAGGACCGGTCTTTGGCGGGTAGAGTGAGGGCGTGGCCGTGGGTGGGCAATTGATGTCAATACACATACCACCGACATCCACCATTGCGGGCGGTTGGCGATCATTCAGCATACTGATGCCATGGAAGTTCATAAGACTCTGTGGCTTGGGAAAGTTCGTGCGCGACAGCTGTAAACGAGTTGCACACATATATATATATATATATATATATATATATATATGTATTGTATATTTATGTATGTGTGCGTGTCTATATATAAATGCAAAGGTACTCACATCCCGAAAGGTTGTGCCCGGCAGAAATGGCATTCCTGGTATACGCAACATCTTGTTTTTGATTAAATTCTTTTTTTCGGTTTTCGGGAAGCGCGGAAAATTAAATATTTATACGAGTATATATTTCTTTGTAAAAATCAATATAAAATAAACGCAGTGGAGTAAAATTTATTTCTTTACGAATTTCTTAATATTTTATCAGAAAAAAATAGAGCACAAAAATATGTCGTTTAGTTTCAGAAATTTTTTATATTTTTGTTGTTTTTTTTTAACGATTTGTATGCCACTTTTTTGCTTTGCCTTTTGTGCTACTTCTCTTTACAAGTATTTTGCACCGATAAACAATACGAATAAGAATATATGTGCATATGTGCATATAGATAGGAATATGGACTAAACAATCGACTGGCTCTATAGCAATGCACGTACATAAGTACGTGTATGTATGTGTTTACGCGGGTATGCACGGCTGGTTGCTAAGACTGAATGCGGCTCGTCAGGTTGATATAATTATTTCTTTCACGAGCGCCACTCTCAAACGATTCGAACGGCATCCAGCGGAATCGGGCACGAACTTATGCCCTCATCCATTATAATATAATATATATGTATGTATGTACGTATTGGTAAGTTAAACCATTTTATTAGTAGTTTTGGAATTTTCTTTAATTTTTATGATATTTTTTTCGTTGAAAATTTTTAAGGCCAAGGTTCGAGTCCTGGTCAGTACATGCAACCCCAATTATAGATTATAAAGTTTTTTGTTGTTGTAGTTGTTGTTGTAACCGCAAAATTATTCCCCAACGTACTTTTTGGGGAATGTTGCGGGAGTGACAATCCTTGGCCGGATAAAAATCCGGGTCGTTCCGTTATAAAGACCCGACTGTCGCGGGAACTATTGGATTTTAGTCGCCTCTTACGACAGGCATGCCTTACCGCGGGTAAATTCTTGAGCCCCTAACCCGCAGGGGGTTATAAAATTTTCTAATGGCGTTCGCCTTTTGCTAGACCAACCTGAATATTTTTTTTATTTAAAATAAGAATATTGGGTTGCCCCAAAAGAAACCAGCGAGTTTTCATACAGACGGCGTTGACAATTTCTTTGAACTGCTTTTCAATTGTACTTTTTCTTTTGACAGTTATAAGCTGTCACTTTTAGCTTGCTTTAAAAAAAAAAGTACGCCTAATTTTGTTTACATTTTTTCGTTTGGCGACTGTTTTAATATGGAGCCCACAAAGGATTGCGAAAAATTTGCTTAATTTATATGGTGATAGGACCTTAAAAGGAACACAGCGTCGAAGTTGGTATGTCGAATTCCGCTCGGGAGATTTTTTACTCAAAAGTAAGCCACGTTTAGGTCGGCTAAATGGAGTTGATGATGACGATATCAAGGCTTTACATGAATCGAATCATCATGTAACTGAGCGCGAAATTGGAGAGCAGTCAAGTATAACAAAATCAGCCGTCCATAACCATATACGACTTCTTAGAATGGTGAAAAAACTTGATATTTGGGCACCGCATAAAACGCAATGAATATGATCCGTTTTGAAGCAAATCATAACGTCAATCGAAATCGACCATGGTCCAAGCATGATGAAGCGTCACAAACCATTTCAAAGGCTGATATTCACCGAAAAGAAATTATGCTGTCAGTTTGGTGGGATTGGAAGGGTGTGGTATATATTGAGTTGCTTTCAAGTAACTAAACAGTTAACTACTGTAAATAACTGGATGCATTCCATTATCCCTGAACGAGGAGCGGCGAGAATTGGTCAATCTCAGAGCAAGGTTGTTCGCTGGGCTTGGGACCCAACGCGTAGAAACCAGCTCCAATAAAAAGAACTACGAGACCTCGGATGAGAAACCGCCTTTCTGTTGAGGACCACCGCAAACGGATTAATCATCACGACTTGAAGGCATGCCTCTGGACTGAGCGGTCTCTTAATTGGGAAGGTGTCGCTGCCCAGTTGGTTGATGCCCTCATAAAATTAAATGCTGACATTACCGCCGTATAAGAAGTGCGATAGACGAGACTAGGATGGATTCAAGTAGGTCCTTGTGACATTTACTACAGCGGCCATATAAAGCAGCGCAAATTTGGTGTTGGGCTTGTGGTAGAAGAGAGACTGCGTCGTCGACTATTGGCATTCACTCCGGTGGATGAGCGTCTGGCAACAATCTACATCAAAGCGAAATTTTTCAACATATCGTTGATTTGCGCCCACGTCTCGGCGGAAAAAGAGGACGATTTGGCCAAATATGCCTTTTATGAGCGCCTAGAGCATACTTACGAGCGCTGCCTCCGGCACGACGTGAAAATCGTGCTAGACGACTTTAACACCAGCGTTGGCGAAGAGGGTATCTCCGGTACAACTGCCAGAACAGTCAGCCTCCTCAACAAAGCATTCCCATATTGGTTGAGGCTGATCGACTTCTCCGGGGCCCAAAATACGGTTGTCTGCAGTACTAGGTTATTCGTAATCGAAAAACTAAAAACCAGATCGATCAGCTTTGAAAGCGTCATGTTATTGGAATTTATTCTGGCGCCAGAATGTTTCGTTATGGAACTTCTGATGCCATAAAAGTTTTGCTGTTTTACTGGAATGATAAAAGCAGATAAATTCATAGCATGATAAAGAGAACTTTTTTTTCGAACCGCGATATTTTTAATGCTTAAAGAAGTTAGCTCAGCGAGACACTCAAATAGTGCTATCCAAGATGACTCCTCCTGCTTCACGATCTTGCAGCTCATTTGAGCAGTGTTCCTTAATGCTACCCATTAAACAGAGCTCAGCATTTATACCAGAAGTTATACTGATGGAGAAGAGAGAAGTAGTGCTTTGATATTTCCACATCCAGATCCGCGTCAGATCCGCTAGAACAAGTTGTGTCACTGATTCATGTGTTATTACCAGTTTAAGTATGTTTTGCAGTGGATACTTCGCATTATGAGCAGGATTTATAGTGGTTAAACTATATCCGGACACCCAAGTCCCAATCGTGCGTATTTGTGCTGCAGTTCGTTCAGTGCTTCGGGATTCTTGGCCAATTTTCAGGGGTTTGGTAGACTCATGACCATAGCTACTGCCGGCGTCGGGGAGAGAGAGGGAGCGAGAGCGAGATTGATAGAAAGAGGGAGGGAGAGAGAGAGAGAGATCGATAGAAAGAGAAAGAAAGAGAGATCAATAGAAATAGAGAGAGAGAGAGATAGAAAGAGAGAGGGAGAGAGAGAGATAGAGATTGATAGAAAGAGAGAGAGAGATAGATTAATAGAAAGAGAGAAAGAGAGAGAGATAGATTGATAGAAAGAGAGAGAGAGAGAGAGAGGGAGAAGATAGAAAGAGCAAGGGAATTTATTCGAATAATCAAGCACTGACATCTCATAGAGACTTAACTTAGCTTTACTTTTGGGTTAAGGCCTTGATCCGCATCCCATTTGTAAGGCATGCCACCAATAAATAATGAAATTCCGTGGTTTGCATTTCTCTATACAAGTGTATATTCTGTAGATTTCCGAAAACATAATCATAATTTATAATTTGGACTCAAGATGTATTGCCAGTGTGCCGTCTTCCTCTGCCTGGGTAATCGATATAGTTGCGCGACCATCAGAGCCTACCTCAACGCGCTTGCCCGTACAGCCAGAATCCGACTTGACACCAGAGATGATATCGCAGTAAGTACCAGCGGGTAGACATGTCTGTAATGATGTATTCAAATCATAGGAGTCCCCATTGAATGCCACAAAGCCTTTGCTGCCGCGACAAAAAGCGATTTGATTGCTGCCGTTGTCCCACCAGTTTTGAATAGCGGTGCCTGCCACAATATTTCTAAAGCCGACCATATTGTAAATTTGACGCCAACGATGCTCACAAACCCAACCACCGCTACAAGAATTGTCGGCATTAAAAATGGGGCTGGCGATGTTTTGGCCATCGGTTGTGGGTGGTCCTTGATCGGTGTTGTCGAATGCGAACGAAGACATGACACGAGTTATACCGAATGGATGTGCCAACATGAAAGCACTTGCCATTTTATACTGTTTTGATGTCTTGTAGTTAAGGATATCAGCACCACCAGCACCATGACCACGTTGATTATCATGATTGTCTACGAAAATCAAGGCTCGATCAGAGTTGAGGAATCCCCACTGTGGACCCCAATTGATGAGCCAACGCAATTGGTCCTTGCCACGAAATACTTTGCCAATTGAATTCGAGTGCGCAAATTCAGTGACGACACCCAAGTTTGTGTATTCGTTTTTGGAGACGGCCTCACCGCCCAAATCGATAACCTCTTGGAATATGAAAGGACGGGCGCCGGTATCGAAACCATGAGTGGTGTTTAAGTTGTTCACACGATTGTAGATTTTCTATGGAACAAGCGATAGTGTAGTATTTTTAGATTAAGATTTTGAATGCCTGCACACGACTTACCTCTAAGTCCTCGGGCCACATATGTTTGGCCGCATCGACGCGAAAACCAGCAACACCCAAACTAATAAGATGGTTGAGAAAGTCAACAACACGATCTTGAACCCATGATTTACTTTGATCCAAGTCCTTTAAACCCACGAGCTCGCAGTTCCTTACTTCATATTTATCATTGTAGTTATTAATACTGCATGTGGGATGGAAATCCAAGTTAGAGTAAGGTACGGCCGGGAAACTCTTATTACTGGGATCCGCCGTTGAACCGCCGGTTCCGCGAGCGTTAGCATTATCGCCAGTCATATGATTGAAAACCACATCCACAAAGATACGAACACCGACATTGTTGCATCGTCTCACCATATCAGCGAATTGCTGCTCGTTGCCCGAACGAGTGGTCAGTAGGTAGGAGATGGGTTGATAACGTTCCCACCATGGACGTGAAGCAGCAACAACATTCTCATTCACTGGTGAAACCTAGCCGATGGAAACATATTTTTTATTTCATTTAATGCACAGATGATTATATTAAGTTTGAATAAAAGCCTCGAGCTCACCTGAACACCACCAAAACCCTTGGGACCAAGGAAGTTCTCACATTCGACAGCTATATCATCCCACTTCCACTCGAAGAGGTGCACCATAGTTGTCCTTCCCGATGCATAGTGCGGATTGAATTGTGCCTCGATATTACGGCTAGATAAAACTAAGATCAACGCAAGGCAAAGACAGACTTTGCTCAGAAACATGGCTGCGGTTGATAAACTCTATGCGGGCGTATACTAGTATTCTGTAGACAGACAACTAACTGTTAAACATTTTTTTTCGAATAGTTGGCTTATATAGAAGTTTTGTTGTTAAACATACACACACACATAGTCTGAATATTTACACAATGTGTTGATGAAATTGTCAGTTAATGAAATGTCAATGAGAACACAGGAGACAATTAAATAGAAAAAAATTACAAATACAAAAAGGAAGACACGTATTGGGAATATTAGTGGGGTAGGCACTTTGAATTGTACTTTTAAAGCCAACGACTGGTAGCGTCATGGTGAGTGGACCTTACAATCTAACCTATCAATGAATTTCTAGCCGTTTTTTCCTCAAGTGTTTACTATCTAAGATCATTTAAAGATGTTTAACCACGCCCTGATCCCTTCAACGGAGTGAAGGTCTTCCTCTGCTTCCACTAGCGGATACTGCATTGTGTACTTTCAAAGCTTAGGTCCTACTTCTCCCAAATGGACAGCGAAATATCTATGAGATAATAATTTATTTCACATTTCTTTAGAATAAATGCTTTTTTCTCAACTTCGTTAGCTAAAATATTCCGATGGTTGTATATGGAAGTTGGCTTTTGAACTGCTTATAGCACAGAGAGGGAGATATTATATTAAAAAAATATGGGAAAACACTATAAAAAGTTCAGTACTGTTATCCTTTCTTACTTGGCATTTCGAAGCCGAGGGAGCCAGGCATTGACAGATTAATTCACATGATACAATTTGTAAACTTCTCTCTTTAGCAGATGAAATTCTGTAACCTCTTCTTTGCAGATTAAGTAAAAAGAAAGATAACTTAAATTCTAGACAGTCTGGGGGAATATTTTAGCTCGCGTTGTAGGGTCAATCGCATCGTATTTTACTGCTTTAGAATTGTTAATGGAAATTAATATGTTTTGTAACCGCTGAAGTGTCTTTTGGTCTAGTTTCTTCTCAAATTTTTACCTGCAAAAAGAGGCAACTACAGTTTATTCTACGCTTCCTCCGAACGGAGGAACTGTTATTTCATGTCAAACACATTTTTTCTATTTAATTTTCGGATATTGATTTGATAATCACGCCACCACTGTAGCCAATTGGTAGTACAAAATAATTATTTATTACCCTTTAATATTTAAAATCCAATCGGTATTATACATTTTTTTTCTCAAACACAGAAAAACAGCTAATGATCATTGAGTATTAAATAAGCAATTTACAATATATTGTGCACTTGTTCACAATGACAGTTCACACCTGAGTGGACCGTTAATATAGCAAAATGTTATAATAACTTTTTTTGCAATAACTATTTGTTTACAATCTTTAAAACAATGACAAAGTTAATATTTTCTTACAGGCATACATGTGTACATATGTACATATGTACTCGTGAGTATATAGTCTGAGTAATTTTCCGCTAATAACGGATAGCTAATTAAATAAATGTTCAAATGTACTTTTATGTATGTACACGGTGTGTCCTAAAAATAACCGAACTTTATATTTAAATCATACAACATACAGCGCCATCTATTGAAAATTTGCAACATTAAAAAGATACATTCATCCTCCTTCAAATCCACCTAACATCATGTAAGTCGGACGACAGATGTAAAAGTGACAACCATTTCAATAAACCCGAAAGTGTGCTAATGGTTCAAAAATAAAATAGAACAAAGAGCAAATAAAAAAATTTTGTGACAAAAAATAATGAAAAAAGTTTATTGTGATGATTGTATGAGTCGTACGCAAGTTTATAAGTGGTTTACACGATTTAAAAATGGTCGTGAGGATTTAAATGACGACCCTAGAGCAGGACGTCCAGAAACTAGTAATCGTGCTGAACTGGTGGAAAAAGTCCGTGAAATCATTGGTATCGATGCAAATTTTACTACGAGAATGTTGGCTGAGGAATTGAATACGAGTAAAAACACTATTTGGAGAATTTTAACTGAAGATTTGGGGAAAAGAAAGGTCTGTGCGCGATTTGTTCCACATGAATTAAATGACGACCAAAAAATCGCTCGAATTTTTAATGAAAAAAGGGATTTCTCTCATCGACCATCCTCCGTATTCGCCTGATCTATCACCATGTGACTATTTTTTATTTCCAAAACTGAAAACCAAGATGAAGGGAGCATTTTATGATGATATCCCAGCCATTCAAGCAGCCGTAACCGAGGTACTGAAGAACACTTCTATAAATGACATAAACAAATCTATGCATGTGCTGCGCTGGTTGATCGTTCCAAACGTTGTGTTGAGTCAAATGGAATCTATTTTGAATAAATAATAATTTTCAAAGATGATATAATGTGTATTTCATTTTATATCCAAAAAGTTCGGTTATTTTTGGAACACACCGTGTATGTAAGTAGAAGTGCATTTTACAGTTTTCATTTCGAAATAGTATAATTAGAGCCGGAGTGATAGGATATACTTGTATAAATTCAACATATGAACAGATTTCTAACAGAAAAAAATTATAATAAAATATTAAAAAAAAAATTAAGAAGAGTCGTACATTACTAAATTTCGTCGTGCGAGTCTTATAACGGTATGTAAATTTAATTTGGTCTAATATTTCTTTTACGATCAAATTGACCGCCTACAAATCATGCCAAATAACTTAACTTAAGTAGTTTTAGGGATGTTGATGATTAATCATTTCTTGATTTAATCAAGATCTTATTTAATGAATTATTCTGAGTTATTCTTAAAGTTTTGTAATTAATATAATTAATTAGATTAATAAAGTCTAAATGATAATTTCACAAATTCCTCCTCCGCGTCTATCTGTCTGTTGACGATGAACTTAAAAGCTACTGATCCGATTTTCATGCGGCTTCCACCAATATATAGAGTGATTTTTCAAGAAGGTTTCATATAATTTGTACATTTCCTATATAAATTTGTTATAAATCTACTTTTACTCAACTCAAAAAGGACTTAAACGATTTTTAAGATATTTTTAGAAAAAAGTTTAAAAGTTTTTTTTTTTATGAACTCGAATCTTTTAGTTTAAAATTATAAGTTTTTAGTGAACGAAAGGCCTGGATTGTTTGTATGAATTTAATATTTTGTTATACAACAAAGAAAAATGGTAGTAGTGACAGCTGTTTTGGAGATCACCACATCTCCTTATCCGACTTTTTATGACAGGTATCGAAACAACGGATCCTGACTGAGCTGATCAGCCATGTAATCTATTGTTGTATCATTTACTTTATCATTAACCAACAACTATTTAGTATGCTGGTATCTTCGGCCCAACTGCCGGAAAATTCAGCCTTCAGAACGAAACATCCCCTAATGGGTTGAGGCTGATCGACTTCGCCGGGGCCCGAAATATGGTTGTCTGTAGTACTAGATTCCAGGACAAAAAAATACATCACGCTACGCAAAACCAGATCGATCACGTTGTGATAGACGGAAGACATGTCTCCAGTGTTCTTGACGTGCGTACACTCCTAGGACCCAAAATCGACTGAACCATTATCTTGTTGCAGCGAAGGTACGCATGCGTGGCTCTGTATCGAAGAATGCCCGTCAACAAAAACAAGGAAAGTTTGACGTTTGACTCAAAAAGCTGTTATCACAACAGACTGCCAAACGATTTTCTACTCGACTTGCACTCCTGCTCTCCGAGAGCACTCGGTAAACGGGAATTGTTGGATGGCATTTCGAGGTCTCTACGCATAGCTGCAAACGAAACTCTTGCATTTCGTAAAGAACGCAAAAATAGCTAGTACGATGAGGACTGCCGTGTCGCAGTGAAGAGAAAGTAGACTGCCTACCTCGCAACGTTGCGATCGACCACAACACGTGCGGGATGTGATAGATATCGAGAGCTGAAGAGGAAAGCAAGGCGCATATGCAGACAAAAAAAAAGAAAGAAGCCGAGGTGCGTGAGTATGTAGAGCTTGAGAAGCTGGCCGACAAGGGTAATACTCAAAAATTCTACAAAAAGAAACGACAACTTACGGAAGGTTTCAAGACCGGTGCAGACTACTGTAAGATTCAAAGAGGTGATCTAGCCACCGATGCCTAAAGTATATCGAATTTATGTAGGGAACACGTCTCCAATCTGCTGAATGGTAGTGAAAATACAGAATCCGGAGATGGTGAACCCGAAACTCCAATCGATGACGATGGAAAAGACGTTTCATTACCTGACCATGAAGAAGTTCCAATAGCAATCGCCCGCTTAAAAAACAAGAAAGCGGCGGGAGCTGACGGCCTGCCGGCAGAACTATTAAAACATGGCGGTGAAGAGCTCACAAGTCGCACGCATCAGCTACTTTGTAGAATATATACCCGACGATTGGAATTTAAGTGTGTTCCGTCCAATTTATAAAAAAGGGGGCCCCACTGCCTGCGCCAATTACCGTGGGATAAGCCCACAGTTAAAAAACTGATTGGACCTTATCAGTGTGGCTTCAGGCCTCGAAAGTCAACCATTGACCAGATTTTCACCATGCGCCAAATCTTGGAAAAGACCCGTAAAAAGAGGATCGACACTCACCACCTCTTTGTCGATTTTAAAGCCGCCTTTAACAGCATGAAAAGAAGGATGCCTGAATTTGATATCCCGCAAAACTTATACGACTACGTAAACTGACGATTTGAAACCAAACAAGGTTGAAGACAGGCTGATTCCTTATTTGAATAGGGAAGGTACAATTTTAGGAGTATAGGAGTATACAGCTGGCGCCGAAGACACTAATGACCCCAACAACCGATCCGTGAGTTCTGCTTTCTGGGTCTGGTAGTGAACGAAGGGAAAACGAATTATATTCTGCCATTAAACGAACAGTCATCGCATTCGCGACTTGGCTTTCATGTCTTTGCTGACAATCATAACATTGCAGTCGTAGATAACTTCGTCTATCTAGGAACCAGCAATAACACCAATAAGTCCTTTTTCGTTAAACAAAAGCCAAACTCTACAAGTCGCTTAACGTTCCCGACCTGTTATATGATGCAAAAGCATGGACGATGACAACATCTGATGAGGCGGCGTTATGATTTATGGTGGATTTATGGAAATGGCGAATACCGCAGCCGATGGAATGATCAGCTGTATGAGATACACGACAACATTGACATAGGCTGGCTAGGTCGTCCGGTCCGGATCGATAAGAATACTCCAACTTTGAAAGTTTCCGATGCAGTGCCCGCCAGTGGAAGCAGAGGTAGAGGAGGACTCGGCTGTACTTGGTATCTCCAATTGGCGCCAAACAGCGAAAGGAAGAAATGAATGGCGCAATAAGCGCGTGAGCGGTGTCTACGCCAGTAAAGAAGAAGAATCACAATGCTCATACACATTACTGTAATCAAATTTCTAATTTTCTGCTCGAAAATAAGCTTCATAAGTCATTAATTTTTTATAATGTTTTTAAAATTTTTTACCGCCGTATTGGCTACGCCTTTTTGACATCATATTCTCAGTATTCTGTAAATTAGTAATAATTTTTAAAAAAGATGTTGCCACTTTTCATTTAGGGGTCGGCCAGTCGAACCATAAATACGTTTTTTTTTTTCAAATATATCGTTCCCTCGACCACTTTCCGAAAATTATTTTCGTAAAAACCATCTCTTGGTAATTAAGAACCAAATCGGTCCAACCAGATTTAAATGATGAATTATTATACATATTATTATTATTATGTAAATATTGCTCTAAATGAGCTTCGATCGCTAATCAGAGGTCCAAAATTTCCATCGCACCCCTCTTACAGAAAAATATATCTAGTAGAGTAACCGTGAGTTAGATGTTCTTTGACTGTATTTTTTCAGAAAAAACTCGCTTTATAAATATATATATATATACATAAATACCGAGTAATTTATAGTAAATTGTAAAATACAATTTTGATTAGATTCTCTTCAATGTCTTAGTGGCGTGGTTTTTCAAAATTATTACAAATAGAAGAGCTGTCTTCGAGTACGCCGAAGTCTTTATACCTTTCATATGTGTTTTATACACACGCTCACTTTTGACGGATTATTGACCTGAAATCTCATATCTGATCAAACCAGTTTTCGCTGAAAATCAATTGAAAAGTCACTCTCCCCTCAACCAAATATTTTCAGAGCAGTTTAAGGCTCATTTTGCCGTTTGAAGGTATTCATTACAAAAGAATTCCATGAAATATTGCACTCAAAACTTCGTTAAGGAAGGACGGCAGCTGAGCCAAGATGGCTTATGACCTTCGCTAGACCTGCCGCATAGTAAAATAATTATTTTGCGTTATCATATATTAAGACCAGAAAGTTAACGGAAATTGTTTTTTTTTTTTGTCGATATTCTTTCATAAATTCTTTCAAAAAGGACACAGCTGTAGTTTTGAACGATTTTAAGACCAAAAACCGTTTCGACTCGATTGAGGCCGTAAAAGAAAATTCGCAGAGGTAACTGAAGTCTGCTGGATACGTTTAAAATTCGCAATAGTTTGCTTTCCTAATTTCAATATCTTTGTAGTCGCATATGTTTATCAAAACTCATGTAAATTATAATTTAAAAGTTGATATTTATTATTATTTTTTTCGAAATACCTAATGTCAACCCCTCCGAGTGTAATCTTATATGAAACAAGGCTCTTCTTAAAAATACTATCAGCCGTTCGGAGGCGGCTTAGTAAAAATTGTAGGTCCCTTCATTTGTCGGAAGCACATCGAGAGAAGGAGCTCGGCCGAAAATCGCTTTAGCGGCTACAAAGCTCCAATCATATATATATATATAATGTAATAGTAGTAGTTTTTAGTTATTTTTAGTACATTTATTTATTGTTCGATAGATATTTTATTAAAGTTGATGCACCAGCACTTCAATCATGAAAATATTTCGAGAAAAAATGTTTTAAAAATCTTAGCTCCCTTTAAGCCACGGCGGGAAATTACAAATTAACTTAAGCTAAAAAAAAATTTAATCTGCTGTTTTCTTAGAAACAAAAACCAACTGAATTCTTGGCTCTGTACTTTTAACTTTTGTTTTTTTTTAGAAAATTGCTTGGCTTTAGCTTTTTTAAGCCGCTTTTCGCCGGATCTCTGAAAAAGTTCTGGTGATATCTTGATGATATCTCTGAGATGACATATAATATTGAAACAGATTTGTCAATATACATTTTTGGTTAATAAATATTTAATTACATTCTAAGATCTTTAATTTATTAAATCCATAAATTATGACTATGAATTTGGACACCAATTCACGTTCGGCACTGGCTTATTAAAGCTCAAAATTATTAGCTACACGTGTGTCCCCAAAATAACCGAACTTTATATTTAAATCATACAACATACAGCGCCATCTATTGATACGTCATGTAAGTCGGATGACAGTTTTAAAAGTGACAGCAATTTCAATAAACCCGAAAGTGTGCTAATGGTTCAAAAATAAAATGGAACAAAGAGCAAATAAAAAAATTTTGTGTCAAACTTGAAAAAAAGTTAATGAAAAAAGTTTATTGTGATGATTGTATGAGTCGTGCGCAAGTTTATACATGGTTTACACGATTTAAAAATGGTCGTGAGGATTTAAATGACGACCCCAGAGCAGGACGTCCAGAAACTAGTAATCGTGCTGAACTGGTGGAAAAAGTCCGTGAAATCATTGGTATCGATGTAAATTTTACTACGAGAATGTTGGCTTAGGAATTGAATACGAGTAATAACACCATTTGGAGAATTTTAACTGAAAATTTGGGGAAAAGAAAGTTCTGTGCGCGATTTGTTCCACATGAATTAAATGACGACCAAAAAATCGCTCGAATTTTTAACGAAAAAAGGGATTTCTCTGATCGACCATCCTCCGTATTCGCCTGATCTATCACCATGTGACTATTTTTTATTTCCAAAACTGAAAACCAAGAAGGGAGCATTTTATGATGATATCCCAGCCATTCAAGCAGCCGTAACCGAGGTACTGAAGAACACTTCTATAAATGACATAAACAAATATATGCATGTGCTGCGCTGGTTGATCGTTCCAAACGTTGTGTTGAGTCCAATGGAACCTATTTTGAAAAAAATAATAATTTTCAAAGATGATATAATGTGTATTTTATTTTATATCCAAAAAGTTCGGTTATTTTTGGGACACACCGTGTATGTTTTTAATATTATTATTTACAGTTTCCTGCACAAAACAAAAAAAAATATATATATACTCGTGACAAAAATAAATGCTATAAATTTTTATTCGCACACTTATGTATATATCTAGATTTTGATAAGAAAATATTTTCCCTGCATAATGTGATATTTATTTAAATATTCTTCGTACCTTTAGACCACCTGGAAGTTTCATTATTCACTCTTCCATACCCAGAATATAATTGAAAACAACAACATTGTATAACAGCGGCAAACACTTATCAATTGCTTTTTAAAATGGTTAAGAGATTTTTACGGTTGCCTATCAATATGTAGATATTTGAGTGCAGTAAATTAATGAAATCTTTTTATTGCTATTGTCACCGGTGTGGTAAAATAAATTCACCAAGTAGGTGCATTAAATATATGATTCCGAAAACCGATGCAAAAAAAGTTGAATAAAAAATATTCTATTTTTATTTCTTCAATACATGTACGTACATATATACACACTGATAATTATTTTCAATAAATAGTTTTCGAAATAATTTTAAGAGAAAAAAATCGGAGTTTTTTGAAAAGAACACCTACGCAGCAGCTATGCAGCCTTGCTATGTCATCGACTCGGCACAACTGTTTTTATTTGCTTACTGCATTAAGCGCTCATTGAGGTATTCATACACGTATATATTTATATACAAATAAAAGTATCTATATTCATGATTACATCACACTCCCCTACAAACGTGCATACGCGTACAAATGATTGTTTTTATCGCGCGAATGTGAGGCAAGAGAGATGATGCTGAGTGCTCGCACTGATTTTGAGAAAATTGTATTATCACATACCCGACTGGAAACCGAAACAAAAATTCTGACAACCACTTGTTTTGCATTTTCCACATTTGATTTTTTCTTCTTTAGTCTCTTCGCGGGTGATATTGTGTCGGCGACCTGAACCAAGAAATCCTGTATAAAAATTATGGTACCACCAGCCAAGTTTCCTTTTCTTTCATCTTTACTTCTTTACAATAACACACCTCGTTGGCAATGTACCCTGAGTTATTTATGGTAAACAAAGTCGTTTATACGTTCATATTTCTTATATTTCGTTAAAACTTTCCATTACTATTTACAACCTAGATTCCACATGAATGGCAAAGACACCATCATCTTCGCTTGCTCGAATGGAAATGTTAGCACGACCATCGGAGCCCACGACAACCGACTTTCCGGTACAGCTCGAACCGCTTTTAGCGCCGGAGATGACGTCGCAATAAGTGCCCGCCGGCAAACAAGTTTGCAGCGAGGTATTCAAGTCGTAGTTATCGTTGTTGAATGCTACGAAGCCCTTATTGCCACGACAGAAAGCGATTTGATTGCTACCATTGTCCCACCAGCTCTGTAAATCCGTTCCAGCCACGATATTCCTGAAGGCAGCCATATTGTAGATTTGACGCCAACGATGTTCACATACCCAACCGTTACCACAGGTATCATCAGCATTGATACTAGGACTAGCGATATTATGGCCATCGGTTGTGGGGGGACCCTGATCACTGTTGTCGAAAGCGAAGGATGACATAACACGTGGTATACCAAATGGATGAGCCAACATGAAAGCGTTTGCCATTTTATACTTCTTGGAGTTTTTATAGGTGAGAATATCAGAACCCCCGGCACCATGTCCTCGCTGATTATCGTGATTATCCACAAATATAAAAGCACTACCGGAAGGAAGGAAGTCCCATTGAGGACCCCAATTGGTGAGCCAACGAAGTTGATCGTTGCCTCCGAAAACCCTGCCAATGGAGGCAGAATGAGAAAATTCCGTGACGACACCTAAATCAGTGTATTCGTATTTAGAGATGGCCTCACCGCCCAAATCTATGACCTCTTGGTAGATGAAAGGACGTGAGCCACCAGCAAAACCATGTTCAGTATTCAAGTTGTTCAAACGATTGTAGATGCTCTGAAAATAGAATATAAAGAATATACTTGCAAATGCACATATTGTTTGTTGGGCTGAAAGGAGCCGTTGAGGATCTGACCGCTTGTGCCCTAACCTTAGTAAGAGTAAGCTCATTGCGGTATATATATATATATACTTTGCCCAAACTGTCCACAATGAGTGATAGTTACCTGCAAATCCGCCGGCCACATGTGCTTAGCAGCATCCACACGGAAACCAGCAATACCCAAACTAATAAGTTTATTCAGGAAATCGAGTATGCGGTCCTGCACATAGGAGTTGCTCTGATCAAGATCCCGCAGACCAGACAATTCACAGTTACGAACTTGATTTGCAACATTGTAGCTGCTGATCGTGCATGAGGCATGAAAATCAAGGCTTGAATACGGTACAGCTGGGTAACTCTTGCTGCCGGGGTTAGCGGTTGAACCACCAGTGCCAACTACATCGGAATATCCGGCCGCCATATGGTTAAACACCACATCTACATAGATACGGACGCCGGCGTTGTTGCATCGTCTCACCATATTGGCGAACTGTTGTTCATTACCCGAACGCGTGGTCAGTAGGTAGGATATAGGTTGGTAACGTTCCCACCATGGGCGACTTTCTGCAACAACGTTCTCATTCACTGGGGAGACCTATTGGGTAATGTAGCTAACATTTAGAACCCCTTTTCATATGCAGCAGCTTTAAATGTAGTTTTTTTTTAGCTTACTTGTACACCAGCATAACCTTTGGGGCCGAGGAAATTTTCACATTCCACGGCAATATCATCCCACTTCCACTCGAAAAGGTGCACCATAGTCGTCCTTCCCGATGCATAATTGGGATTCCATTGCGCGTTTGCCGTATGGCTCGATGCGAAGAGAATCAATAGCGCGCAGAAGCTTACTTTAGTCAGAGTCATGTTTTTCGAAGTTTTCTTCAACTTTTGTCTCGTAGAGAGCGTCACAGTGCACTTATGGTGCAGGCAAAGTAAAAACTGAATGAAATGATTAAAAATTTCATCGTTTTAATATGAATTTGAGCCGTGAAAGCAGCAATGAGTTTGCTTGTGGTCTGTATCTGTCTATGGAGTCATAAATAATACATTCACAGGGCAATGTCGGCAGAATATGATTTGCGATGTTTTTAAATTTTGTAATACAAAATGTTAATAAAATCGAAAGTTTCATCGAAAAGCCTTATCGCTGACAACAGGAGTTGATAATCAAAGCAGATAATTGAAGCTTATCGTAGTTTGAGATCTTTTAATTCCATATATATATATGGAACATATATATTCTACATTCAAAAAAACAAAAATATTGGAGCTTTAATTTCCAGAAAATTTTGTGACTCAAAAGAGGACTTAAGGATCAACATCACAATCATCGGGGAAAAATCAATAGCGCGCCTCTCGTCCCTTCTCCTCGTTGTTTGGCGGCAGTTGGAAATACCAAATGAAAAGAGGTCGTTCTATGGCTTATACTTTCAAGAAGTGGGAGTCTTCTGCCTCAACCAGCGGATACCACATCGAATACTTTCAGAGCTGCAGTGTCCCCGCCGTTCGTCCGTCTGCGGTATTCGCCATTGCTAATGGGCAAATAAATGAGCTATACTTTTCGTTCGAACACTCCGAAGTGCTACTCAACGAATGTTGAAATCGTATAAAATTTTGCGCCATATGGCAGAACGGGAATGATGTGGGACTTGTATAGTTTGGTTATGGTTCGTCGAGAGAACCTGTTTGCAAGAGTGATTCTGCGTTAGATTTCAAACCTGACATTAATATTGGTCTTATGCTGTCGCTAAATAGAGGAATGTGAAATTATGACTGTCGGCAGTGAGAGTTCGTTTGGCGTTAGTAGATATTTCGGCTTTCCTTTCTTTCTGGAAAAAATAGCGGTTGTTAAGTTCGATGATTTTAATGGCATCTGTATGCGCCAGGGGTTTGGAGAGGTGCTTTTCAACTCCAACTGCGCTTCAGGTATTACCTAGTGCCAGTTTACGTACATACATATGTAGATGTATATGTAAGGCTTTAAAATCAATATGAAGGTGGTGTGTATCGATTCTTTCACCTCACGGGTCTTTTTCAAGATTTGGCGAATGCTGGAAATCTGATCAGTGGTGGGCTTATCAGGCCAAAAGCCACATTGATAAGATTCAATCAGTTTGTTGTCGGTGGACTTTAGTCTTTCACACTATAGACCCATTTCCCGGAAATACTTTATAAGGGAAATAGAGTCAGCTAATCCCGCGATAATTGATATAGACCGAGGGGTCTCAATATTCATGGATTGGGCAACTCACACAAATGCTTCAATGTTGGTCCGACCATATTTTGCTATGAATTTGATGCAATAAGCTTGTCAACTTATCGCCTCTATATTTTAATAACTCTGCAGGTAAGATATTAGCTTCCGCCTTTTTTGTTATTCCACTATTCCAACTTATTAATAATCGATTATTAGAACGTCGAAAGCCAATTGTTTCCGTATCTATGGCCCTCAGAATACCTCATGAATTTTCTTGTCCCAAAATCTGGCGCTAGAGATAACCATATTTTGGGCTCCGGTGAAATACAAGTAGTCCGCTTGGGAATGTTTCATCATGGATGCTGAATTTACCGATTGTTGTGCCAAAATATCTTCTCATAGGGGCGTTTTAGTTGCCTCTAGATGAGACTAGATGTTTTTTCGTACTTGTTCCGTGGAGGATTTGCATTCTCACTTAAGTTAGCGTGTAAAGGGATATTTGTTGTCTTAATTTGTTTGAGTCGTATGAAAAGAATCGTTTCTGGTCACTCCCTGTGAAAAACTATACATAGCTCCAGTATACGTATCATTTATTCAAGAGACTATACGAGTAAATAGTACAAAAATTCCTCAAATTAAAAGAAAAGAGTTCTATATCTTCTAGTTCTATATTTATCTAGTAAGAAACAAACTGATGAAAAGGTTTTGAACCATGCGTCACATTACGAAAATCATAGATGAATAAAAGAGACAGAAACACTGGGAAGAGGTATAATATTTTTAAAAGCAACTCTCTGATTTCAGTGAACCAACCAGGGCGAAGGCTTTCTAAGAAACTTAAGTGGTTAACCCAGAGTACTCCAATACATGACAGAACAGAGTGTAAGTGCTATGCAATTTTTTATAATATTCTAGTTTCCTTCCTCCCAAATAACTTGTTTTGGCAAGTCTTCCATGTAAGCGTAAGAAATGCTGTGTCTCAATTAAGTTGTCATCAAACATTCCCTCGAATCTTAATGGCTTAATGTTGATTGTCCGAAGCTAGACAACAGAGACAATACTCACACTGTTCTTAAACATTTCTTTAATGTCCACAGAAAGGGAGGTCGTTAGATGTTATGACGTTTTTTTAAGATTTCAATCTGAAGCTAAAATGACACCAGCCCCTTCATTTGTCCTAAGTATATACAATTCATGTGCTATTCACATCTAATTTCAGTTAAACCAAACGTCGCTCCCATGCCTACTTCCCGGAAATACCTGGCTTATCGCCTACGCGAGGCCTACGCCTTACTCAGAGCACATCTTCCACGTTTCAGGTCTCCACTATTAATGACTTAGGATATGGTTTATGGGTTGAACCGTCAGTCACTCACAGGACAAAGCCTTTCATATACATTTATATATTGACCGCATATCGATTCACAAATATGATATTAAAATTATGTGCATAGGAATTATCCTAGTGGATTATTATATTTCAACCACAAGCAAGGAACTGTAAATTTAAATTGGTTTTATATTGGAAAATACCTCAAATTGAAAATCCATGACATTTTTTGTGATAAAATTTTTCACCGAAGACCAAAACTTCATATCTTAAAAGATCAGGACTGTGTATAAATATCCTGTTCGGTATATTTGTTTATTTTTAACATTTAAGAGTCTTAATCTTAAGAATCTGAAAAATCCTTCGTATATATGCCACTTATGGGTTATTAAACTATGGAAATGATAAACGTCAAAATTAAAAAAAAAAAATGTATGGATGTTAGAAGTTGTAGATAATAGTTTTCAAACATTTCAGTTGCAGCATGGCCTGTTGATCAAATAGCTAGGCATCTCTAGTAGCTTAAAAAGGGATTAAGAAATAATCTTAAATTAACTTTTATCAACTATGATCCTTTGGGCATGTTCGATATCTTTTCTTCCTGTTGTTACCTCTCCTGCCATTGAATTCCCAGCTTCTAATTGTTGGTAAACACTTTGGTAGTGGTTAAATGCCTACAATAATTTCTGAAATATTACAGAATACCGTTGCTTTTATAATTTTCTTATAAGCTTACCCTAAGGTTTATATAATAAAAAGTTACGACAAGAGAGAAATCACATGTTCAATGACGAAGTTGGTTCAATTTTATGGGTTGCCGAAAATTTTAAAATAATTTTGCATTATTTTTTTATGTATATGAAACAACAACAGATTTTGACTATGAATATCTAGAGCCTTACATAGTAATTGTTTTTAAAAATAATAATATTAATTAATTAATAATTATCAATTAATAATTTAATGTTTCATGTCGAGCAATTGTAGTTGAATTTTCAATAAATTTAAATTCGAAGTGGTGAAAAAGTGTGCAGAGGGTTATTGTGGACGAAAATGTGAAAAAAGGTCTCAGTAATTTAAGTCAACGTGTTCTGCTGCGGCATTGTGGTATATAAGTTGACCACACCCTTTCATAAATTTAATGATACAATCTTTCGGATTACAAACTTGAAGTTTTGGCATTAACTTTACTACTTGGAAGAATGAAGTTTAAAGTTCTTATTCATATTTGGTGGTCTTCAGCCACCTGGTCAAAATCCCATATTTCCGTGCTTATATATTTTTTTAAGAAAAAATGATTTCTTTTTATTACATAAATATCAAGTACCGCCCACAGTATATATGACGAAGTTGGTTCGGTGACGTCAGCGATTGTCGTAACCTTGTATTCTATAAACCTTGGCCTTGAGCTTACTTTTATTTTGAAAAAGGAGAAACCGAATACGTTAAGTAGAATAATAAGAATGAGCATTAAGAAAAGAAGAAATAAGGAAAAAAATAAATAAAATTGAAGAAAATTGCAAAACGTTGAATCTGAACACAAATCAGACTTCAAAGAATACCGTGCTAAAGGTGAGGCAAGACCGATAAAATCAAGTCAAAGTCGCTCAAAACTCAAGGCCATGTTGACTGTTTTCTTCCATTTGTGGTGTGGTACACCATGAATTACCTCCGCCCGGTCCAACGGTAAATAAGGAATATTATTTAAGCGTTATGCCCATTATCAGATATTCACAGATTAGAGAATTACGTACGCTATTTGGCGCCAATGGAGTGGAGGTCTTGCACCTTTCCTATTTCCACCGGCGGGTATTTACCAATCATCGGGCATTCTTTCATCTGACCATATTTTGTAAACAAGCTGTTGCGCGCACGCACAGCCATATTTGCTGTTTTTCTAGCGGACGATTGCAATTCGAACGTCTTTATAGTCAGGTAATGAAATTTCTGTTCCATCTCAATCGATCGGGGAGCGGATTTCCACTGAACTGTTCTCTCCTCAATTTCAGTATAATCTGTGCATGTGTCACTAGGTCACCTATCTGAGTCCTACAATAATTTTTCCCGTTTCTGAAACCTTCTGCAACTCGTCGTATATTTTCGTAGCCTTGCATTTGCCGGCCAGCTTCTCATGCTCTTCATACAATACCTCGCATCCCGGCCACTTTCTTTTTGAGTAGGCACATGCGTCGTGTATTCCTCTTTAATTCTCGGTATCTATCCCACCCGGCAGGTGTAGTCGTCTACAGATTTTAGATTTGATAATTTTCACAATTGATGTGGAGTTTATTTAGATTTCCTAATACCAATCCTCTTTACGGCATTCCACTTTGCTTTTGTACTAAGCTAAGAAGCTAACTTTGTCCGTATAAAACTTCGATTTGGAGAACCTAATGGCTTTGTTATTGCCATCGTGAGGAAGATTGATTGCGCAAAGTAATTAAATGTTGAGTATTGGCAACAATCTGGCGACAGCTATTCTGCTTTATAGCTCTAGATTTAAGCGGGACAAATTTATCAAAGAGGAAGGTAATATTATATATCCGTTCTTCGACTGATGTCATGCTCCTCATTTGTCTTCACGAAATAGAATCGACAGCTGTAGCAAAGAAATTGCAGTTGATATTTTTGAAATCTCCGCATGAAAAATAGTTTCATGTATAAAATGTTTGGAAATAACGATTTGCGGCATTCAGATAACTACTCCTTAGAAAGAATTGATCATCAGAGCTTTCATTGCTGAGCTCTATGCCAGCCGATGACTGTTATTAGGTGAACACTTAACAAAGACTTGCTCAGGGTTTCCAAAGATAAATGCTATTTTTTATGAGTGTTTAATTGAAGTATGGTTTTGTTGTGATTTGGCTTGCTCAGAGCATCGTTTAAATAGATGAGGCAAGCACTCTCATCTCCATGTGAAAGTATTCGGTTATTAGTGGGTAACCAAATAGACACACTCACACATGCGTGTATACAAAAGCTCCGTTTGACACCATTAACTGTCTTTCCATCCTTATAGCTCATCAGGTCTCCACTCTAGATTGGAGCCCACTATTAGTACGCATATATACCACAAGACTTCTGAGAGAGCCAGTCTTTCTGGGAGCAACAAGTTTGTACTAGAAGAGACCTACCACTGGTCGGAAATGAATACCTACCTAACAATTTGTTTTAAAGTTCTGCAGAAATTGGCGCCAAAAAACACGAAACAACAGATCTCTGACTCAATCGTAGTCAGACACTGCACACGGTGCCAAGAAGATCAGTTTCATGCAAACTGTGTCACTACAATCATTCAAAGATGATGTATGTAAAAAAGAGGGGAGAAAGTTGCCGATCAAAATAAGTTCATAAAAGAAAACATCTCTCCCCTTAATTTTGAAATCCAAGCAATTATAAACCCCAAAGAAACTTTCTCACACTCCAAGTAACAATCGAAGTAGAAAAGTACCTCTAAACAAGCTACAACAACTTCAGACTCAAAGCAGAAACAAGCTAAATAATTAATGATACCATACACTCACAATTCTCTAGTATTAGATACTGCACAATGGCGACATCACTCAAATCAGAGCACTCATTGACCAAGGATCTCAGGCGACTTTTGTAGGAGATAATCGGCATTGGCGGACAAGTTGTGCAAAATTCTAATAAAATATGCACACTTACGATAAGCTCTCAAGATCGTAACACAAAAATAGTAACTCATGCGATAATTCTCCCTCAATTAACCCAATTCTTACCGCCTTTCAAAATAACATATCTTGACCTAAGAGAAAATGTCGCGCTCCCATTAGCAGATCCTAAATGCTTGGCTCCTGCCAAAATTGATATGGTAATATGGCACGGCTTTTTAGCCAAACTATTAATCCCAGGGCTCAATAATAATGTGGGTGGAAAAGTCTTATAGCTCTTCGGATGGATATTAAACGGACCAATAGTGAAACCGGTCTCAATATTACTACTCAGGTAATCGAGGACACGGCGGATCCAATAAGTTACCTACTAGGGATATTTTGGGAGCAGGAGGAAATAGCAGAAGCTCAGACACTAAAAGAAAAGGATAACCTTTGCAAAAACTCATACCAAAACACAACATATCGAAGAGATGATGGCCGTTTCGTGATCAAACTACCATTCAACCACGAATTTCTCAAAACAATGGTATTAGGCCACACCACGCCATCAGTTCAGCCGACAGAAGCGGCGGTACTAGCAACCAGGTGCGACACCCTCCGAAGCTCCGATCCCGGAAATCCCCTAATCAGGGATTTAAACGCGGAGATTCGACGAGTCGTAAACAGTCATAAGCGGAAAAAGTGGGAGGAGCCTGCAACCTCTCCTCTGGGGCAACCAAGCTCTGGGCCACAGTCAAGTCGCTGTGTAACCCGACGAGACGCAATGACCGGGTTGAAATTTCATTCGGTGATCGCGCCTCGTCGGACCCGAAGAGATGCGCGAGCTATTTTAGCCGACTTTTTACATTGCATCCCTCGGTAGACAAAGCGAAACGACGTGTGACCCGCCGTATGCGCAAACTGCCAAACACCAGCGCGGTGCTTGATTTCTCCAGAGAGGAGGTTCAGGGGGTCATCGGGAAGGCGAAAGCCTCCAAATCCATCGGCCCCGACGGAATAAGCATGCTGATGCTGAAACATCTTGGACCAGCGGGAGCAGAATTTCTCGCGAGGGTCCTCAATCTCTCTTTGACCACCCTGAAGATACCCGACGTGTGGAAAATGGGTAGGGTGGTCCCGCTACTAAAACCGGGGAAACCAGCCAACAAAGGAGAGTCCTATCGGCCGATAACTCTCCTCTCCCCAGTAGCGAAGACACTTGAGGCCTTACTGCTCCCGACCTTCACTCACCATCTGCGTCCAGCAGCGCATCAGCATGGCTTCCGAAAAGTGCACAGCACCACAACAGCACTTAACGCCATAAACACCCAGATAGTCCATGGCCTCAACCAAAACCGACCCTGCGCGCGAACTGTCCTAGTAGCACTGGACCTGTCAAAATCTTTTGACACAGTCAATCATTCAGTGCTACTAATGGACATTGAGGAATCCTCATTACCGCCGGGGTTGCAGAGGTGGGTCATGGGCTACCTGAGTGGTCGACAATCATCGGTAATATTCCGAGGTAAAACATCTAAACCCAGAAAAATTAAACAGAGGGTTCCGCAGGGTGGTGTCCTCTACCCGCTACTGTTTAATTTTTACATATCGAAACTCCCTCCACCACCAGAAGGAGTTTCCCTAACCTCGTATGCCGATGACTGTACGATAATGGCGTCCGGCCAGGATATTGATGACCTCTGCTCGAAAGTAAACGGCTACCTCGCTGATCTCTCCCAGTTCTTCACTGCAAGACAATTACGAATCCAACCGACAAAATCCTCGGCTACCCTTTTCACCAGCTGGACGAAGGAGTACAGGCTTGAACTGGATGTAAAGGTCGATGACGAAAAAATTCCGACGATAAATAACCCAAAAATATTGGGAGTAACTCTAGACAGCCTGCACTCCTTCACTCCGCATACGACCGCAATTGCCGCAAAACTCCAGAGCCGCAACAAAATACTCAAAGCGCTAGCCGGCAGCACCTGGGGTAAAGATAAAGAAACTTTGCTGGCTACTTACAAAGCAATTGGCCGGCCGGTCGTAAACTATGCTGCTCCGATCTGGACGCCGGGGACGAACGGGACGCAGATGGAGAAGCTACAGGCTTGCCAAAACACCGCCCTCAGGACTGCGACAGGAAACCTCCTGATGTCGCCGGAGCATCACTTGCACAGGGAAGCATCTAAGCTACGAGTTAAGGAGCATAATGCTTTGCTGTGCAAGCAGTTCCTACTGGGATGCTACCGCAGGGAGCACCCCAGTAGGCAATTAATAGACGCTGAACCTCACCCTAGGCACATCAGGAAGGGAGTACTAGACTTTAAGGACACGATCCAGCAACACACACAACAACCGCTGGACAGGACGGCGTATCGACAAGCACTGAACGCCATTCACCAGGAGTCAGTTAACACCTTCATGAACTCCCTTCCAGTGAATGGCGTACTCGGAGAAATACCACCACCCATAGCAGACAACGAGCTCGAGCTGTCTCGAGAGACCCGCGTGACCCTGACACAGCTCAGGTCTGGATATTGTAGTAGGTTAAACTCCTACCTATCCAGACTAGACCCCAGCATACCTAACGTATGCCCGGCATGTTGATAGTCCCCGCACGACACTAACCACCTCTTCACATGCCCCCTCAAACCTACTCATCTAACCCCCCTCTCCCTTTGGTCCAACCCCGTCGAAACAGCTCGTTTCCTGGGCCTACCTTTAGATGCCCTCGATGACTTAGACTAATCAAGCCTGTGCCTAAGCGGGGTTAGCGAACCGCTACAACAACAACAACAACAGCAATAATATTTAAACGAAGCATACAAAAAAAAAGAAGCTGAACAACAAACTACATACTCCATAGCCTTAGAAGAATACTTAACCCTAGACCATATGAAACCAACCAGCCCCCAAGAAATCATTCGCATCACGCAGTGATAAAACCAGACAGCAAAACTGCTAAAGTCCGGGAAGTATTTAACGCGCCAAAGTAAACTCATTCTGGCCTCTCACTTAATGATGAGCTGCATACCATTCTCGTACTACAAACTGATCTCATGTCGGTGGCGGCTTTATAAATATGTTTTCAATGGCGATGCAGAAAAAATGTGTTGCCAAAAATATGTCCAGAAATATGTGAAAAATTTCAAAACAGCCCCTTTGAAGACTTTAAACTGAATACGGTTGAACCTCCGCAAAACATCCGCATAGACTAGCCTTCACCATAAGAGCCAGCAGCAAATGACAGATATATCTGGCTCTTAATCGAGGTAAAAATAATTCTAAACCGGGATTTCAGGTAAATTTTTTGTTTTCCGTATGTACCTAAATATTTCTTTGCATAATAAAATTACAATGAAAACATATGGATTGGGATTTCTTTTAAAACTAAATAAAATAATTTCGTATATACAATTTTATTGCAGTCACTTAAATTTGGATTCTTACATTAGATTATATATTATATTTGTATATACATGGATATGAGCAGCACCACTCTGAGCAATATTTTCAGTCATCACAAACCTCCCAGTCGAGCTGATAGTATTTTTTGCCATTTTCCCCCAGCCAAACGTTCGCACAAAGATTCGAGCAAAAGTAGCAGGTAAAAATTTGTTTCGATGTACTGCCCCGTCTGAGAGAGAGAGAGAGAGAGGGAGAGGGTGAGGGGGAGAGAAAGATCGAGGTAAGTTAACAACGTAATTGCAATCGGTTACCTCTTGACAGCCATAAAATAGTATGTTGTATACAATGGATTTGAGCACTTGAACAGCGTACAACGGCCCGTGGGTCCATTCACGATATGATCGTAGATGAACTTCTCCGGCAGCATATGCTTCAGCGCCACATTCTGCCACAGAGGCATGTACCGTGCCAAATATTGCACCGCGCGCAGGCAATCGTCGTACAATGTGACTTGGTTATCTAGCGACGGTACACGAAATATGCGACGTGTGCCGAACGGTAGCAGCAGTCTAGTATTAGTTTCTCTTTCCAGGACCCAGAAATAACTGCGGTGCGTCACAGCTCTAAAAATAGATAAATAAAGAAAGTTTTTCAAAATTTCGTCTTCTGTTATTGGTGATTCTAGGCTTACAGTGGCGTTACTTTCGCACGATTATCATAGAAGGTTTGGAAGAATTTTTCGTATATCATTGGCACATGTGTAATGGATGTGTTGTGAAAGATGCGGATATGATTAATAAATTTAGAAAGCGCAACGGGCAGGTAGAAAAGTGCGCAGCCTAATAAGAAAGAAAAAAAGAAGGAGGAAGTATAAATTTGTTAGAAATTCAAAGAAATAGTCGATGAGAAGGCACAATACGTACGATCTGCTGAAAGCGATTGCAGCGATGGTAAATTGGAGATTCGTTCGGGTATATGCCAAATGTCGGCATTATCACTTAAGTTGAGCTCGTTCAGTCGCTGACATTCACTCAGTTGTACTGGCAGGCGTTTTAGGTGATTTTTGGATATGTTGAGCTCTTCCAGCTGTTTCAAGGCTCCAATTTCTGGAAAATAAAGTTTCAGTTCTTTAATAGAGGAGAGCTTTTTTTAATTTTAAAAATCAAAGATTTTCTCGTTAACTGATTTTTATTAGAATACAAAATTTCATTGCCGTGGCAGTTTGTCATTGTCCCCACTTTAACCGTGTGGAACTTATCCCTTCAACTTCTGGTACTTAAATACTTATAACCAAACTTAAATTTGTAATTTATTATGCTTCTGTTAAATATAAGCTAAGGGCAAATAAACATAAACTGCTGAAGCGATTTTTGTTTTTCCAACAAATGGAGGGCCCACACTTTATTCTAAGCTTCCTTCGAAATGACGTTGGCCTTTTATGAAGAGCATTTGTCATGCTAGAACTGCTCCCGAACAAGTTTACATAGCCTGCCGTGAGGCAAGATTAAATTAATCTTATCTTTACAATATGAAAAAGGTGTCTCAATGTTGATTCTAAAACCTCATAAATAAGGTTGTGGCACAACGAGCCAGTGACCACTTTGAAGAGTATTTTGTGTATGAATAAAAACTAAGACCGAGTAAATTTAAAGCCGCAAAGTAATAAAAATTGTCAGATGTTGTCATAACTATCAACTTGACGTGAAATATACAATAAAGACTTGAGGCATGTATGCCTCAGACTGATGCCATGGAATTGTTTTTCGTGGTGTAGTGTTAGATCTCTGGTAATTATCTCTGGAAGTAACTAACAATGGACAATGACACAGTCAAAAATACCAAAGGATAGGTACCACGACGAGATAATCAAGATAATGGATTGGCCTGAGCAATTGTCAGTGTTTAATCCAAGCGAACTTGGACATCTACATAAAGATCAATAAGGTAGTAGAAAAGGATAAGCCGCAAAATTTTAAAACATTATGCCTTCCATATAGAGGTGTGACAATTAAGTAACGAGACTGATTCCATAAAATCCCTACATTTCAAAATTATCCTACAAATCTCTCATTCCCTTCAAAGTAGCCTCTTTGGGCAGCCATACAACGATGCCAGCGCGTTTTCCATGCTTCGTAACATTTCTAGAATGGTTTGACTGGGATGTCCGCGAGTACCTTTGCCACGTCCGTCTGGATATCCTCAATCAATTCAAAATGGGTTCCTTTGACCACCGACCAAAAAAATCACAGGATGATATATCGGGCGAATAAAGCGGTTTTTGTAACACGGCGATCCCTTTACAGACCAATACAGTGACATACTGAGGACGGTGTGGCACGGCGCGTTGTCTTGATGAAAAATTCAGTTACGAGCGACGTCTGGACGCACCCTGTTAACTAGTTTTCCCAATCTTTCCAGTACTTGGCGATAGTAGACTTAATTTACGGTTTGCCGCGGTGGAAGAAATTGTTTGTGGACGATTCCACGGCTATCAAAAAAGGCAATAATCATAATAATTTTCCATTTTCGTGACGAGCACTACGAACGCATGCAGCAGGCGAACTAAAGCGAGCTAGAGCGATGGCAAATATATTAATGGAGAGTAGAAGGATGCCGGGAGTAGGTTACACCTCGTAGACATTCGTTAAGATACGATTTTTCGTGAAGTAGACTTGGGATCGACAAAGTTTGTTTGATATTTGAATAAAAAAAAATTGTTATTCATTGCTCTGATTTTTTTGGTAGAGTAACTTGGAGCAAGCAGACAGACGTGACTAGAAACGAAAGCGGGCAAAATATAAGAAAGGAATGTTCATGGGCCACAATAAACAACTTTAACACAAGTGACGATAAAAATAATAAATTTTATTAAAGTATATATAAAAAAAATTCTAAAAATTTTCTATTTTGTGTACAACAGGAAAGTTAAACTCGGCATTTGAAAATTGTTGCCCAAAAAATGTTTCATGAGCTTTTTGCTCCAAGTTGCTCTAACTTACTCTATGGTTGTGCCCTCGACTTTTCTTAATTCAAAATCAAAAAGCAGTGATGTCTATGCATATTTTCTTAAAGGACTTACATTAGTGGAAGAAACACTGCCAATAAGACTGCGAATTTCGCCAAAATTTCAGTGAACAGTTTCTATTAATCACACTTTTTTATAAGTTCACCATGAGATGGACGAAGAAACACAAAATGATTTAAATAAGTGAAGTCAAAGTGATTTAATAATATATTTTTCTAAAGCTTCTGAGATTAATCAAGAATCCACAGGAATTAATTTAAAAAGGAGGAAAAAAAAGAAAAATCGTATGACGAAATTCAAAAGCTTCGCTTTCACGGAAAACAGGGATTGACGAAAGAAAACATTCCTCATAAATGATCGTAGTATCGAATATCGATAGATGGTGATATGACAATTAGAAGTACTTACGTATTGTATTTGCCCGAGGTTGGAGGAAGAAACCACCACTTACAAAAAACACATGTAGCTTATTGGTTACAATTTGCCGAAAGACAGCCCTGTACAAAAATTATGAAAAATTTTGTAGACTGAGGAGTTTAAATATGGTTTCGGGTGGACTTAATGGAGGCCAAATTAATGTTGAAATTTGGGAAGTTGTACGAAAAGCATGGAAGGACGTCTCTTCCACTCTAACATTTAGTGGACTCAATGTCCGACGTTGCGCTTTACTTCTAAATAGAAGAGTGCTTTACAACAATGTACTAGCTTCGTTTTTATACGTACTGCCCGTTTTTTGAACTCTTTTATAATTATTTATGTATGTAACCCTGTGCAGCCATCATTTCCACCAAGAGATGTCGCTGCGTTCAAAACAAGTATAACCAGTATACAAGACTCGACTTATTTATGAGAAAGATGCAGTTATGTCCGTTTTAGATTTCTACCTTCTGTGGAATCTTTAACAGGTCGTAGTTGCAGGTCTAACGTTCTTCTTTTGATCTCAGCTTTGAACGCAGCAACATCTCCGGTGAGTACATTCGGAATCTTCCATAAATACATTTTTGAGTACATCCATACAATTACACGAATTCACTTGTTTTTTAATTGTTGAGCCACTTGGCGTAGAAAGTAGGATATATAAATTTGCAGCTTTCAAGAGAACGGCACCTTCCCCGATTCCCGTTGCCGGAATTCACGAGGAATCTCGAGTGGAAACAATAATAATTTTGTTTCATTTTCTAAAAATAGCTGCCACTCCTAATTTAATGTTAATTTAGAATTATAATTTTTTTCGATAATTTTCGATCTAATGCGTAAACCTGATATTTTTTTAAAACTTTTCCGGAAAAATTGCGGTACTGCTATTTTCGTAATCGCAGCTGTACATACGTGTATGCCCAAATAGTTTGCGGAATAAAATTAAGTTCCCTTTGCCGCTGAGCTCCTTCTACGTTCACCGGTAACGCTGGAAAATGATGCCCTTGATGCTCTCTTAACGTTAGCACTTTCAGGAACAGGATTTTCGGACGGGGAAATTTCAGCCACAGAAACTGGCGGTGGTGGATTTTCCACTACTTCATTTGTTTTGATCTTCTGATCCGCTATCACCTTTTCTTCAAAACCAACTTCCGATTTTATCTCTATAGCCATAAAAGCAGCGGATATTTCGAAGGGTTGCGCTGTCGTGGGCCCAACCGGTGGTGGTCGACATAATTCCTCAAATTTTACACAATCGTTAGGGAGTGGTTCAGGTTTTGTTTTTAAAGCTTTCAAAGCCTTCTTACAATAACATTGATCGGCTAGAGATTTCATCGAACCGGTAACATATGAACCCTGTGCGGCATTTGAGAATGCGCTAAGCATCTTTAGGAACTCATTTTGAGCCTTTTCAACATTTTTCTTGTGACCCGCCCAAGCGATCATAATCGACGACTGCAAAGTACCATCGAAGCTGAATATAATGGGCCACGGTTTTGCGGATGGCTCGGTGGCTGTAGCATTCAGTAAGCAAAGACTTCTGTCTTCGGTCTTACCGTCCACATGCAAAATTATACCTTTAAACAAGAGAAAGGTTGGATTTGAATTTTTTAATTATGTAATCCAGCATTACAAAATCAAATTCGGACTTACCACCTACGCCAGCTGGCACTACATGTCGCAGCAATCGTAATGTGGTTTTGGAAATTTGACCCGGCGAGTATCGTTTCTCGCACTTCGGTCCTGGCGCCAACATAGGCACCCTTAGTAGTGTGCCCTCCACGTTGACATGATGATCGCCAAGTGATTTATAAATGAACATCAGAATGGTTTCAGCCACCTTCTCAGCGCGTTCCAAGTCATTATCTTCCGTTGGCACTATGTCGACTTCTAATATCGGCAGCATCCGCTTGGATTGCGCAATGGCTGCATATTTGGCCATTGTATTGGCATTCTCCATGATAATCTGGTAGGAAGGCGTGTACTCGCCGATATTATACTGTGCACGCCACATGGTGAAATCACAACCGCAATCCTTATACTCGGCACATCGTTTAGTCAAGCCGTCGAGGCCTTGAGTGACGAACTCACCATTAGAGCACAACACCGGCACGAGTCCTCTATCCACTGTAACTCCAACCAAAATGTTTTTACGCCTCAATTGACAGTGTAGCGCGCAGCCGTTGACTGTTGTTTGGTCCAATACCTCTGGATGTATCACAACGCCGGAGACATATTTGTCTAAAGTGTCCTTTACCGAGAAAAGTAGGTTCCGATATAAAATCCGGTTTTCTTTGCAGGAATTTATGCCAAACATTTCCATTAGATTCTCCAACTGTGTGGGCGTCTCGTCCGTGACGACTACACCGTGACCGGGTACCATGAGTTCCGATGCTATGCGTCGCAGTTCGTCAATCAAGCTGCGTGAGGCATGATTGAAATATGTTGACATGCTGACCAGTTGACTGTCTTTTCTGAACTCGCGGTTAATTAACGGTGACAATTTGGAAATGAAATTTTGTGAAAGAATTTATCTAAATAGAAATTTTGTACTTTTTTTTTCTAAATTCTATTTATATTATTATTTGAAGGTTTTCTATTTTCATGACAGACTTATAGAATGTTCAGCACAATTCTTAAAATAACAATTTTCTTGTTCGTTTGATCATCAGGCCTCTCTGAGGGGCAGATTGGATTGTCAACAAGCTTATCAATTGGAAGATTACGCTAACAGGTTGTTTTAACGGAATGAGAACATGGTCAGGGCTAATGAGAGAGGAAGCTTCAGTGGAGCCACTCCGACACATTCGATTTAAGGGTCTGCGTAAGTCTAATTGCAGTGTCTGTTCACCAGAGGCTCGGCTGCGGGCGGGCGAAGCGGTCTTGAAGCAAGCAGCTCTCTATATAAATGTGTAAAAACTTTAATCTTACTCGCCTATTCAAGTCATGCGCTGGGTTTGGGACCCGCCACGTAGAAACAGATTTTCGCCCACGCCCCGACGGAAGAAAAGGACGATTTGGTCAAAGGAAATTTTAATAGCGCATAGAGCATACTTATGAGCGCTGCCCCCCACCTCGATGTGAAAATCGTGCTTGGCGATTTTAATGCCAGGGTGGGCAAAGAAGGTATCTTCGGCACAACTGCCGGAAAATTCATTCTTCACAACGAAACATCTCCTAATGGGTTAAGGCTGACATACTTTGCCGGGGCCCGAATTTTGGTTGTCTGTAGTACTAGATCCCATCACAAAAAAATACATCAAGCTACTTTGCGGTTCCCCGAACGAAAAACACAAAACGATCGATCATGTTGTGATAGATGGAAGACATGTATCCAGTCTTATTGACGTGAGTACACTCTGAGGACCCAACATCGACTCGGACCACTATACTGTTGCAGTGAAGCAGGCGCCTCTGCGTATCGAAGAACGCCCGTCAACAAACACAAGGAAAGTACGACGTCGAAAAGATGTTATCACAACAGACTGCCGAACGATTTTCTACTCGACTTGCACTCCTACTCTCCGAGAGCACTCGTACAGCTCCAAATGAAACTATTGGATTTCGTAAAGGTCGCAAAAATAGCTGGTACGATGAGGACTGCCGTGTCGCAGTGAAGAGAAAGTAGACTGCCTACCTCGCAACGTTGCGATCGACCACAACACGGGCGGGATGGATACCGAGAAATGAGGAGGGAAGCAAGACGCATCTGCAGACAAAAAAAGAAAGAGGCCGAGATGCGTAAGTATGAAGAGCTTGAGAAGCTGGCCGACAAGGGTAACGCTCGAAAATTCTACGAAAAGATACGACAACTTACGGAAGAGGTGATCTAGCCACCGATGCCTAGAGTATATCGAAGGGATCGAAGTAGGGAACACTTCTCCAACCTGCTGAATAGTATTGAAAATGCAGAATCCGGAGATGGTGAGCCCGAAACCCCAATCGATGACGATGGAAAAGACGTTTCATTACCTGACCATGAAGAAGTTCCAAAAGCAATCGCCCGCTTAAAAAATAACAAAGTGGCGGTAGCTGACGGCCTACCGGCAGAACTATTCAAATATGGCGGTGATGAGCTGACAAGGTGCATGCATCAGCTACTTTGCAGGGAATTTAAGTGTGCTCTGCTCAATCCAAAAAAAGCCCGCACCCGCTTATCGTGGGATAAGCCTCTTCAATATCGCATATAAGGTCCCTTAAAGCGTATTGTGTGACCCCTGCGAGTTAGGGGCTCAAGAATTTACCCGTGGTAAGGCATGCCTGTCGTAAGAGGCTACTAAAATCCAATATTTCCCGCGACAGTCAGGTCTTTATACCGGAACGACCCGGATTTTTATCCGTCCAAAGACTGTTACTCCCGCAATATTCCCCGAAAACCAATTTGGTAAAAAACGAGATTTTTTGCCTAGGCGACTTCATATCGTGTTACTTCTTTAATTTGATGTTGGAGAAAGTGATACGAGCTGCAGAGCTGAATAGAGAAGGTATAATATTTTAAAAGAGTGCTCAGCTGCTGGTGTATGCCAATGACATTGACATTATTGGCCCCAACTACCGCGCCGTTCTGCTTTCTCCAGACTCGATAAAGAAGCGAAGCGAATGGGTCTGGTAGGGAATGAGAGCAAGGCGAAATATCTTCTGTCATCACACATAAAGTAATCACATTCTCGACTCGCCCCCCACGTCACTGTTGACAGCCATAACTTTGAAACCGTAGATAACTTCGTCTATTTAGGAACCAGTATTAACACCAACAACGTCAGCCTGGAAAATCAACGCAGAATCACTCTTGCCCAACAAGTGCTACTTTGGCCTGAGTAGGCAATTGAAAAGTAAAGTCCTCTCTCGGCGAATGAAAACCAACCTCTACAAGTCCCTCATCGTTTCCGTCCTTCTATATGGTTGGCGTTAGGAGTTTTCGAGATACCAATGATACAATACAATAAGAGAGTACAACTACTGGTCTCTTGGACGGATTATATGGAAAAAGAAAGATCTAAAAGGGTTATGCAATTCAAAGTTTTTTCTACATCTTGCATTTTCAATTCCGGGCAAAAACAAAATTTCAGCCGATGTTATCTGCAGGTTAGAGCTAAATATAGCTAGGGACTGCGCATGTAAATATTATAACTTTAAAGAAAACCTGAAGAATTGTAGTCGAAAAGTGTATGGAGACCTTACAGTATGCATTAGATTTATACTCCTGTTCGATGTAAGGTGCATGTGTGTTTGGGGTTTGATTTCTTAAACTGATGTGGTATAATATTATTTTTCTTCCTAAGAATCGCTTCGGGTTAGGCCCTTGTATCATAAGTGGCTCAAAAGAGAGTATACTTTCTGGCTCTATCGGCCACTTCCATTTCGATAACTAGAGATCGAGTTCTACTCCGACCGAGAACCAATATAATAGAAAATTAATACTTCTAACTAAGCATGGGCACCTAACATCGAGAAAGTGTTTTCTCGAAGTGGACGTGTCTCGGCAGGGAATTGTGTGTTTTTCACATTAGTTCTGCTCGGTGATCTGATGTGGGGGAGAGAGAGAGATAGATAGATAGATAGATAGAGAGAGAGATAGATAGAGAGAGAGAAGATAGATAGAGAGAGAGATAGAGAGAGAGATAGATAGAGAGAGAGATAGATAGAGAGAGATAGAGAGAGAGATAGATAGAGAGAGAGATAGATAGAGAGAGAGATAGATAGAGAGAGAAAGTGATAGAGAGAGAGAGATATAGAGGTAGAGAGAGAGAGAGAGAGAGAGAGAGAGAGAGAGAGAGCGATATAAAGATAGAGAGAGCGATATAAAGATAGAGAAAGATAGAGACATAGGGAGGTTGGGAGAGATAGAGAGAGAGAGAGGAAAGACAGAGAGAGGAAAGAGAGAGAGTTAGCAACAAGTGAGCGCAATTTGGAGATTGTGACATTGGCGAAGTAGCAAATTGGAAATATAACGAGCTAAGCCTGCAAGCGAATACGGCAAATGTGAGAAAATGCTTATGTACAATACATAATTTATCATAAAAAAACCTACGAAATCTTTTCTGCTTCTACCTTATATAACAACAATACTCACCCGGTGGCAGCTCCGTCAGTTCGTTGCCACTGATATTGAAACGTTGCAAGCGATCTATCAGACCAATGGTTTTCGGTAGTTCACGTATCTGATTATTGGATACATCGAGAAATTCCAAATTCTCCAGCAGATACATTTCCTCGGGAATCGCACTCAAATTGTTACCCGCGAGGTGTATAAATTTCAAAGTCGTAACATTTAATAACCACTTGGGTATGGTAGTGATGAAATTCTCTTTCAGGTACACCTTTGATGGTAGAATTGAATAATTCTAAAATGAATATTTTCGTATTGATATTTATTTTCTAGAATGTGATTGTTTACCTCTTCGAGATCTTCGTATAGAAATAAGTCCATGGGCACATCTTTAAAGTTCAGATAACTCCAATGGAGTGTCGTCTTATTCATTGTGGTGCAGCGTGGAATGGGGAAGGGGAGACGCGTTTTTTCCTGAGCAATCTTGTACTCTGTTTGGCGCTGAGTGGCGCGTACGTGGAGCAGAATTTTATGCGGTTGCACCGGAGGTGGCGACTAGTGTAGAAGTGTTGTATGGAGGAGATTTCGTTTTTCAGTGGATTTTTAGGAAATTGAGATCAAATAGTAGACACGCGTAAAGGATTTGTAATAAAATTTTTCACGCGAATTATTACACAATATAGAGAGGTATTTCTACGCGGACGAGTTGAATTTTCTTTTATCAGGCGAACTTTTTATTAACTTAAATTTGTTTACTTCTATTTGATAAAAGACACTACACTTTTTAAATTTTTCTAAATTATATCACAGTTCACAAAAGAGGCTACAAAAAAAAAAAAGAAAACAACATTAGCAAAAACCACTATCGGACGGTGTGGACGGTATCCGTTTTCGTCTTATCGGCACGCGTGTGTGTGGCAAAGAGATCAAGAGTACTATGTTTGTCGGTTTGCACACCGGTTGTTGGATCGGTGGCAGCTTCGAAGTCTGTGTGTTGCTTGCTACAATGTGACACTAAAACACGGAATGATTTTTTCACGCGTGAATTGTGTTAATCGAACATGAAAGTAACACGACGACTGAAATGTGACGGTGCAGAGCTAGAACACTTGGTCTAACGTTGAACCCGTCGGACGGTCGGAGGCTGCGCGCTCTACACAGAACTGCTGTAAGTAAAAAAAAAAATACATTTTTGTTTGTTTTTAATTTTTTACTCTGATTAGTTCGCTTTTTTATTTAATTTTTTCTTTTTTTTTTTTTGCAAATTCTATTTATGCTTTCGAATACTATTTTTATTCAAATAAATTTTATTTTGGCTCACATACGACGATTTTGCTTTTACAAGTACAATAATAATTTTTGAAAACGCACAAATGCAAAGAAACTCGTTTTACAATTTTACTAGGCGAAATCCATGCCAAACTGAAAAAATCGCATTAATAAAAGATGCGAGCGAAAATTTTCGACACAATTTAAAGAGCTCATTTTCTCTTCTGCCAACAAAAATAAACAATCAAATATTTTCAAATTAATGACAATTTCTAATTTCGAAAGTGTTTATACAATACATACACATGTATGCATGTGTGTATGTGTGTATGTTTGTTCTCTAGCTGATATGTCATGGATAATACAGTTTGTCGGAAAAATAAGCTTACCGTCCTGCTGTCTTAGACATTAACGGTGTTTGTGTTAGATGTGTTAGACTCGCAGCACGTTTTGTTTGGTTTTGAGTACTAAAAGCAGAGTTCACAATAGAACGGAATTCCCTTTTAAGTGGATAGTCCTTTGGATTTTTACATTAGAAATTATTTTCAGTTTGGAAAGATTTTTTTTTAATAAGAACAAAATTTGCAGAATTTTCGTCTTCACTCTTGTGTCATGATAATAGGTTTCGGGGCGTGCACGGTACTTGCGGATAAATTTCGAGATGGCCTAAAGGCTAGGATTTCTGTCGTTTCTTGTGATGAAAAAACCTTACATCTTTCGAGAATGAGCCTTAAGCAAATTGGGTTTCATATAAGATAAAAAAAATTGAAAAATCAAATTCAGTTGGTGCCGAATATTAGTTACACGGCTGAAGTTCATATTGAACGACAGGCGGTTTAACTGCCTTTTACAGAAGAACTAAAGTTAAAGGGAGATAGTCTTCTTTGTGGACATCCATGTAGTATTTGTTAACCGTTGCTTCAAACTCACTGTTACCCTCATCCCTATTAATTAAGCTCGAGTGTTTTCGATAAACGCCTTAATTTTCCCACACTGAGTTCACAGCTCGGTACAAAAAGCGGTAGATTTATGGAGCTAGATATGTCATTTATCGTGAGATCTTAGCCGCAAATTACCAAGTTTAATTGAGATGCAATGATTAATGACTGATTCAACTTATTCGATATTGAGTAATGCGGAAGGTTAAAAGTAAAAAGTCCGCTTTGTGAGATAAAGGCTTAGCTGTGATCCGCTGGATTCATATTATATTCGTGTTCTTACTAGACCAAGTGTTTATAGTATCAAATTTAATAAAAAAAAAATAAGTTCTGTTCAATAGTTTCTGAGATATACTTTCTGATCCGAAACCAGAAGCTGTCATATTTTTCCGTTTGATGCGATTGTCTCTAACAAAGATGGCTGTACGCTCGGCTTCATGTAGCAATATTGTTTAAAAACTATTTGGAAAACGGCGACTGGGAATTTTCGCCTCACCCGGCTTACTTCTTAGATGTTGCCTCCTCTGACTATTATTTGTTCCGGCCGATGTCGAATGCTCTAACTGAAATACTTTTTACACCGGAAAAGGATATTAGAAATTGGCTTGGTTCATAATTGGCTGTCAAGGGGGCGCAGTTCCTTTGAGGTGAAATCCATAAATTGTTTTTGCGTTTTTTTTCTAATAATTTTTTTTTGTTAGGGTTTTACGTTGGACTACTATATTAAAATAACTGGAAAAGCAAGTTTCCACAAATTATTCTAGGCAAATACCTATCAATGTTCCAGATATCAAGCAAATCGAACTATGAATACGTCTTTCCCGAACAGAGCTTTTCATATTGACCTTGACAAAGAGCCATCTACATTAGTTCCACATATTGCCTAAAATCGAGCAATAGAATCGGTCCCAGATCCACTTCCCGGAAGAAAAAGCTAAGCAAAGAGCTTTTGTAAATCAAGGGTCTTAAAAGTTGATTCGATTTTGTCGAATAGATCGGTCCCGGGCACCCTACCCGGTAGAAAAACTGTTCCCAATAGTAATACGAGCTCTAAGCTACTCTAGTATTAAATGTTATTTAAATGAAATTATAAAAAAATTCGAACAGATCAGTCGCAGCTACACTTTCCGGCCAATCCATACTAATCGGCTGCTTACGTCATATGTCTACACCCACCAAGTTTCAGGTCTCTACGATCAGTCGTTTAGCGGGTTGATCCGTCAGTCAAAGCCTTTTAAAGGTATGCATATAGATTCATAAGACTGCGAAGAGTAACAATACTCACAGAAAATTATTGATTTTCTTTATTTTGTTCTTAAAGTTTTCATATTTAGTAGTTTAATTCTGAAAATTACGATGGAAAATCTACCCCGAAAATTTAGCTTTTGATTACTTTCGACATTTGATTAATTCGAAATATAGGGATCTTCAAAAGCACTAAAAATTAATTGAAAAGTTTATTTTCAAACAGCTAGACAGACAGGCAGTCGGCTAGATGGATTCAACTCGTCGCTCAGGTCGTTTCGGTATAAATTTTGATGGGAATTTTTCACTTCTTTCTAGTACTTTCATACCTCAAACCAAAGCCAATATAACTTTTTCTCTTCAAAAAGCGTCTGAAAAGAAATGCTGCACTTTTTTTATTATTAGAAAATTTCGTTCGCACGGCAAGACTCTTCCGTAGATCCTATTTGCTTTTGCAGGAAATTGTTCTGTTGAAACTGTTGTAATTCCTTCACTTTTTCTAAAAAATATGTGGTCTGAGACAATTTCATAAAAAAAAAATCCTTCTACACACTGTAAATGCATATTCTTTTGTTTTCGTCTTGCCTTTGGCTTCACTTTTGCACACTTTTAGTACTTTCCTACATTGTATTTGCGTAGATTTAATGAATTTGTAAACATAGATTTTTTCAATGCCAAACACCGCCGAAACTTACGTCACAAAAAGAAATGCACGAAAAATTGTCTCTTCTCGTTATTTAAAAAAAGAAATTCACGCTGCACGACCTTGACACACTCAATGTAAGCATTGAATTCCTTTGCATACTTTCAGGCGCGTTTTTCACACATGATACCATACAGTGGTGTTGCAATAGTAATGCAATAAAATTATTGTATTTTAATACCGTTATTGTAATTAATTTGACTTTATTTCGATCAAAGTTGGTGATTTTAAAGAAATTTGTAATTAAAGCTTGCTCGTAAACGCCGCTGCGCACCTGCTAGGCCGATAAACTAAAACGAGCTACCCAACGGCTGTGAGTGTGCTGAATTTTTTTACTACCTTTCGCTTGCATTTTCTTTGGCAATGACATTGCATCATGGTTTGCTGCATTTGCGTTGTTTATGTTTTGTTTTGAATCGATCGATTTTCTAGTTAACGCACACTTATCTCTAAATGTATGAATGTTTGTAGCTATGAAAGTACTAACATATGCACCTGCATATAATCACATATATATGTATACTAACAAATGTATTTGCACTCTCTTTCACTCTCCATAATCTGTGCAGGAGCGAAGCATCAGTGTTTTTCACGGTCGAATTGCAACCTGTTGTTTGTAGTTGGTACATTTGTTGCTGCTAATTTCAGGTCGAGACGCATCGTAGAGCTTTTGAAAGCTTAATATTTTTTCAGTGGAAAATTGTTATCAAAAGTGAGAGTGTAAAACAGCTGCCCGATGCATATATACTTCGGTATGCATGTAGCTTTGGATGATAAAATGTAAACAATATGGAAAATATACATATTTGAAGTACATATGTATACAGTCGAGTGCAGCAAATTAGGAAGCCAAATCTTATGCATATTATGCAAGCATTCCAAATATTTTTGGTTCAGTCTCTGTTGGGGCTTCGATGAACTTAAAATTAATCAAAAATGCGTTGAGCTGAGACAGGAC